TGTCTAGGTTGGCACAGAAGACCTTTTGTTTTCCTGGTGATGACAATTGGGTTACATGGAGTTGAACTTCTTTGGGAAATGGTTATCATCTGTAACGATGCCCATTCCTCCATCTACTTGACACTTTTTGATGTAAATGACTTGTTTAAACAGGTTGGGTTAGAGTTGTTTTAATTCCATTGCATGTATCTTTCTCATTGTTGTAATTCCTTCTGGTTGTGTGTGAGTCCTGATCTTTTCTCTAAGAAGTTAGTGGCCTGACTATGTGCAGCCGATTTGGAAATGACTTCCACATTAGTAATCAGTGATTTCCTTTTTTTGTCAGTATATTATCAACTGGGCAGCAACATTGTGCAGAGGATAGAGCGCCCGGTCTTGAGTCAGGAAGACATCTCTTCCTGAGTTCAAATCCGGCCTTAGACACTTACTAGATATGTGACCCTATACAAGTCACTTCACCCTGTTTGCCTCAGTTTCTTCATCTGAAAAATAAGGTGGAGAAAGAAATGGCAAACCCACTTATCTGCACTGTCTTTTTGTCTTCTGGCTTCATTTCCATAAAGAATGTCAACGTGGTTATTATTCACCAGGATGTTCCAGAAACAAGTCATCTGGATGCTCACTCCAGCCCTTGAATTCACACACTGCCCCTGTGGTCTCCCCCTCTGATCAGATGGCTCCTCCCAGATTCTCCATTTAGGGAGGGCACCCAGGCTGTCCATGTCTCCTTCTTCTCCACCTCCGTCTGCAAACTAGACTTCACCACATGCTGCCCCTGTCCCACATGGGATACCTTCGTCTTCCCCTCCCCTATTACAGTAAGTAAGCCCTTTGAGGGCAAGGATTGTTTGTATTTGTATTCTCAGTGCCAATCACATAGCAGACCATAAATGTTTGTTAACCAGCTGTGGCTTCTCGCTTTGAGTGGGAAGATGGAGAAGATGAATGATGGTGCCATCCCCACTGGAGATTGCTGAAAAAACTCTGGGAAGGACCCAGCCTGAGAGGAAGGCAGTCTCCAGTGTGTCTCTCTCCCCAGCTTGCTCTGCTAGAGCCTTCAGGGAGTTAGTTTCTCCTTGGGTGAGAGATCTAGGATTCTCCTGGCCGACTTGAGTCATCTCACCCCCAATAGGAGAGCTCTTTCACTCTGCATAGTCTGGTATATATTCTCTGTGCATACTTTCTCTGATTTCTGTTTTGCTATGATTTGGATAAATGGGTTTCTTAGCTACAGAAACAAAACAACCCTGTTTATTTGTATTCATAGACATAAAAGACAGCATCTTGCCTTAGTGGATGGAAGGCTGGGGCTAGAGTTGGGAAAACCTAAGTTCAAATCCAGTCTCAGACACTTGGTAGGTGGGTGTCCTTGGGTAAGCCATTTGATGACTGGCTGCCTCAGTTTCTTCATCTGAAAATGGGAATGTAGATAGTATCTCTCCCAAGGTTGTTGTAAAGATCAATGAGATAATATTTATAAACTACTTTGTAAACCTTAAAGCTTTATATAGATACTAGCTATAATTTTTATTAGCTTTTACTAGTCAATTCTTCTAGCTGTACATACACTTTCTGAGCTCTGGAAAAGGACTTCCTATTTTTTTTTATTTTTAGGCAACTGGGGCTAAGTGACTTGTCCAGGGTCACACAGCTAGTGTCAAGTGTTTGGTGTGAGGCCAGATTTGAACTTAGATCCTCCTGACTTCAGGGCTGGTGCTCTATCCACTGCGCCACCTAGCGACCCGGAAAAGGACTTCCTACTAAGCATACTGGTAATAATAGCTCACATTTATGTAGTATTTTAAGGTTTTCAAAGTATTTTACCAATATTCTTATTTGATCCTCACAAAAATTCTCATAGGAAAGGCCAATTATTTAATAAAATCACAGATCCAGATAATTTACTTTTCATCTGAGCTAATTATATCAATCTAGATCCTTTGCTGCCTCATTTCATTATAAAAAAATTATTTTAGAATGGTCAAGAATACCTAGGCATAGCTGGGTCAGAACACCAGATGGGCGACATTGAGCCATCCTAATGAACAGACTGCTGTCACCATTTTTTTTAAATTACAAAAAAAATGATAAAAAAAATTTATGAAATGTGCTAATGAAGGGTACAAAGACAATGAAACAAGAAACAAAGAAGTAAGACTTGAAGCGAAGTCCTGTTGGTAGTACACTTGCTGATAGGAATTATTTTTGAGAATGTTTAGAAATGTGTAGTTTAAATTGATGGTTAATTTCTAAATTGACATTTGCTCTGAAGCATTAATGTCACGTATCTGTATATATGTATAAGAAAGAAGGGGAGAGAGAGGAGAGAAAGAGGGAGGAAGGGAGAGAGGGGGAAAGAGGAAGTTGAGAGTCAGAGGGAAGGAGGAGAGAAAGGAAAGGAGGAAGAGAAAGAAGGGAGAGGGAGGGAGAAAGAGAAGAAAAGGGAGAAGAGACAGAGGGAAAGAGAGGGAGGAAGGGGGAGAGGGAGGGAAGGAGACGCAGAGAAAGAGAGAGAAGAGGAGGGGAGAAAGAGGGGAAAAGGAAGAGAGAGAAAGAGAACACTTTATGGTTTATTAAGCTTTTAACCATATGTTGTGGCTATGTGGCACTTTGGTTTTATTTTGTATTTTCTTTTTCTGTTGTTGTTGTCTTCAAATATTTTTTGTCCCAGGCATTTAAATTATTGACAGCTTTCTGAATCTCCCACAAGAGGAGGTCTGTGGTCGAGTGAAAAAAAGAAAAGGCTTTACAACCATTGGACTTCTGTTCAGGCGTTGTTTCTTAATATCCCACAAGCCTTTGCCATCTTGGGTTAGTCACTTTCCCTCCTGGGGCCTCAGTTTCCTCACCTGTAAAATGGGGAAGTGGTATTTCTAAGGTCCTTTAGAGTTTTACATTCTAAAAAAAAAACCAAGTTATTAAAAATATCTATTCTAATGAGTGTGTGAAAGGAAATTTGACTTATTTAGAAGTATATTATTTCCTAGCTTTAACCCAGGCCCTTTATTTCCCTGTCCCCACCCCACCCATTCTCATCCCTTCTTCCCTCTTTCCCATCCCTCCCACCTTTTTCTTCCTCTCTTCTTCCCTCCCTGTTATATCCCTCTATCTTTTTCTTTTCCTCTCCTATTTCCCTTCTTTTCTTCCCCTCCCTTTCTTGTCTCTCCCTCCTCTTTTCTCTCCTTCCCCCCTCTTCTTCTCTCCTATCCCCTTTTCTCCTCCTTTGTATCTTCTCTCCTTTTCTTATCTATCTCTTCCTCCCCTTCCTTCTTCCCTTCTCTCCTGTGCTTCTCATCTCTCCCTCCCTGGCCTTTCTCTTTCACCTCCCTTTTTTCTTCTCATTCCTCTCTCCCTTTCTTATCTTTCTCCTTTCCTTTTCATCTTTCCTTTCTCTTCCTCCCTTTCCTTTCTTCCCCTCCCCCTTTCTCATCCCTTTCTCTTCCTCCTTCCCCATTTTCCTCCCTCTCTTTTTCCTTTTGTTATGGAAGAAATATTCATTCAGTCATTCATTTATTCAGTAAATATTTACTAAGCCCTACCACGTGCCAGACACTGTGCTAAGTGTTAGGGATACAAAAAGAGGCAAAAGACAGTCCCTGCCTTCCAGGAGCTCACAATCTAATGGGGGAATCAATCAATCAATCAATCAATCAGTATTTATTAAGTGCCCTACTTTGTGCCAGATACCCTGCTAATCCGATGGGGATACACAAAGAGGCAGGCAGTCCCTACCCTCAAGGAGCTTACAATCTAATGGGAGAAGAGAATATGCAAACAAATAGGTGCAAGCCAAACTGTATGCAGGATAAATAGGAAATAGTCAACAGAGGGAAGGCTCTGGAATGAAGAGGGCTTGGGGAAAGCTTCCTGTAGGAGGAAGGGTTTTAGTTGGGACTTAAAGGAAGCCCGGGAGGTTGGTGCTGAAATAGATGTAATGTAACACAAAATATTCGGGTAAAAACCTAGGTTTCATTGTGCTTAAGCACAGGTTCAGGGGGGTAGAAAAATAACCCCTGAGCCCCTGATTGAGTTTCTGAAAAGCCTTCTGAAGACACGATTACATCAGAGTGAGAGAAATGAATCTTTTACATGTTACAATCTCCTACATTCCTTTGGCTATAAAAGTCAGAAAAGACAACTTATAATCCCAGGCTTCCTTCAATGTTATATAAAAGTTGAACATACTTAGTTGAACAGAATCATAGCTTCATAGGTCACCTAAAACAAAACTAGTGAAAGGTAAACCGAGTCAGGTTACAGATTATACTGCATCTAGAGGGTTCACAACTGGCTGATTGAGACAGGGGAGAGTTATATGCCTGTGGAGTCTTAAGTCAAATTATTTGGGAAGCCTGGACTCCCCTTTAGGCTTCTTATCTGAGGGAATGTCAGTTTTCACATCCCAAGGGTCAGTAACCTTCCAAAGGAGAAACAGCCTTGACCCGTTCCTTCCCTTCCTCACAAATAAAATTTTGTTGTTCAGTCCTGTCTGACTCTTTGTGACCCCATATGGTGTTTTCTTGGCAAAGATACTGCCATTTCCTTCTCCAGCTCATTTTACAGAGGAGGAAACTGAGGCAAACAGGGTGAAGTGACTCGCTCAGGGTCACACAGCTAGTGAGTGCCTGAGGCCGATTTGCACTCAGGAGGATGTCTTCCTAACACCACCTAGCTGCCCTTAAATAAAAATTCATAAAAAAGGAAATTAAGAATGAACAGTTCCCATCTCTTCCCGTCTCATTCCTCTGTCTTCTTCCTTTTCCTTCTTCTCCCTCCCCTCCCCTCCCTTTCTCCTCTCTCCCTCCTTTCCTTCCCATCTCCCTCGCACCGCTTCCATCCCCTCCCCCACAATATTCATTTTCCCCCGCGGCCCCCTCCCCCGCCCTTCACGCCTGCGCACTAGGGCCGGAGAGCTCGTGAGCGCGTGCTCGCTTTCCCGCCTCGTGCCTCGCGCAGCCGCAGTCTGGGACTCCGCTGTCGCCTCTCTGCTCCCGGTAGGTCCTTGTCGCGTCCGAGGCCCGAGGCCCGGTTTGGGGTCCTGGGTCCTGGGTGGGAGGCCGCCGCCCTCCCAGGGGCGGAGTGGAGTCCAGGGAAGGAGTGAGGGAGGTTCCTCCCCCCGCCCCCGGCGACTGAGGTAAATATTACCCTCCCCCCATCCCCCACCCCACTCCCATCCCGGGCCCTTGAGGGTGAGGAGGCCGCGGACCCTGTGGGTGGGCAGGTGGGGAAACTGAGTCCCAGCGGCAGGGGCAGGAACTTGTAGGCTCGTGGCCTTAGAGCCGGAGGGGGCCTCGGGGGTCACCCAGGCCACGCCCTCCCCCCATGGTACAGGTGAGGAAACTGAGGCCCCGAGAGCCCGAGCAGGGCCTCGGTTTGAGCTTTGTGTGTTTATGGAGGGGGGATTAGGAACGAAGACTTTTTTGTGCTCCATAAAGGCGAATTACCGGGTTTAGCTCAGGCGGTCTCGAAAGTCGAGTCCGCGAGCTCGCTTGAATGAATTCCGAGTGCTGCGTTTCAGTGTAATTGCGGTGCGGGGTATTTTATTTTATTCCTAAAGTTGGAAATATTTTCCTGAAAAGCAGGCTTCACCTGCTGCCAGAGTGGGGGAGGGGTGTCATGATTTAAAAAAAAAAAAAGGTTCTGAGCCCGTGGCCTGGGTTGGCCTCAGGTGTGAGCCCGTGGGCTTCTGGTAGTCAGTCAAGCATCTGTCACGTGCTCGCTGTGAGCCTCAGCTGCGGGGCCTGCAGAGAGGAGCCCGTGGGGGGGCCCTGCCTGAGGTCCTGCGGGGCGGAGGCGGGCCCTCTGCTAGGCTGCATTTGGCCCCGGGCGTGGGATAGGGGGCAGGAGAACCTGGGCGTGTTACCCTGGGCGAGTCATTTCACCAGCGGCCACCGTTTTCAGGTTTGCTGCTGGTTTTCTCACGGGACTTGCGGTTGAATGACTTAAAAAAAAAAAAGCCTGTCCTCATGCACAGCCTATTAAAACGAAACAGGAGATTTCTCTTGATTTAAAAAAAAAAGCCACACATTTAAATATTTTACTAGCTATTCATATATTTCAGAACTTCCATGATTTAATCACTGTTGGCGCTTCTGTCAGTTTGAATTGCAGCTTCTCTGAGCTTTATAAAATATGAGGTCTGGTTTTGGTAGCCCCCCCCCAAAATAAAATTACTTTTGCTGACTTCCTAGTGAAGGGTGTAGCTTCACTTAGCCCAGCTGTCTGTTGTAAAAGCCTTTCCTAAAAACACAGCAAAACAAAAAATTTGAAAACACATTTCAACAGGGAAGAATAAAAAAGAGGAGTGTGTATGAAATTGTAAATGTATGTTACTTGCAATTTTTTAAGTATCTGAAATTTAATATGGTAGTAACAAAATTGCTATTTTTATGTTCCCTTCTGGACTTTTTTCTCCTTTGAGTTTTATTAATGTTTTATTGACAGACTTAATTTTTTAAAAATCTCTATCGTTATCCATTAATCTTCCCCCTTCTCCACAAAATGGAAGCTTCCCCTTATAACAAATATTCAGTAAAATAAAAGAAAATTGACAGCGAAAATTTTCACACTTGGTTTTCTCAATCTACTAATACTGATTTTAAAAAAATTACATTTTTTTTCCAGTTAAGAAAAATCCACTTTCTTTTCTCCCACTTTTGCCCCTCAGTGAGAATGAAAGAAACACAAAACTCCTGTTGCTGACATGTTTGGTCAACACACACACACACATACATACACATACACACGTGCAGGAGCACACATTCCTGCCCTAATCTTCCAACCCTCTCATTCTGTGCTGAGTCATTCACCTCTGTATCAGGAGGCAGGTAGAATGGTTTCATCATTAAACCTCTGGAATCCTAGTTAGTCATTAAGATAGAGTCCCTCGTTTTTCAAAGTTGTTTCTTTACACATTGTTGTCCTTGTATGTGTTGTTCTGATTCTGTTCACCTCACCCTGCATCAGTTCATACAAGTCTTCCAAGGTTTTTCTGAAACCGTCATCTTCATTTCTTAAGTGCTGTTTTCTCTCGCATTTATATATCGTAATTTATTCAGCCATTCCCTCATAATCCCATTCTTTGCCACCTCAAAAAGAGCTATATATTTGTACATCCTTTGTTTTGCTTGTCCTCCTAATTTTTCCTCTAATTCCTCCTACCCTCTTATTTTCCTTTTGAGTGAAATAAAGTTTTGTACTCAACTCTGTATACTCCACCATTTGACCAATTCAGTAAGAATGAGGTTCACATCTCATTTATTTCTCTACCCTTCTTGTTTCACCTTCTATCTTCTTCTCCCCAGTGTATTCCTTTTCTCTTCCTTTTTCTATTCTTTTGTATGATCAAGACATAACAGAATCACTCCCAGACCTTTTATCTGATTAGATTATTCCCTTTATGATCTTTGATGATGATAGGCTTTCAAGGGGTTATATTTATCTTCTCTCCATATTTGAATGTAAGCAATTTATCCCTGTTTAGTCCATTATAATTCTTCATTTATGTTTACCCTTTTATGTTTCTCTTGACTCCTGTATTTGAACTTCACAGTATGTGTGTGTGTGTGTATGTATACATATTATATAATATATATAAAAACTCTGGTCTTTTCATCAGAAATTCAGAAATACTTCAGAGTCTTCTATTTCAACATGCAAACACATATGTACAAAGGACCTATAAACAGAATAAATAGGAAATAATCAACAGAGAAAAGGTTTTCTGTAAAAGGCAGCGTTTAATCTGAAATTTGAAGAAAGCAAGGAGGTAGAAATGAGGAAGGACAACACTCCAAGTTGAAAAGGGTCACAGATGGAATGTCTCGTGTGAGGAGCAACTAGGAGGCCACTGTCACTGGATTGCAGAGTATGAGGGTGAGGTGTAAGGTGTAAGAAGACTGGAAAGGTAGGGATGGGCTAGGTTATAAAAGACTTTGAATGCCAAACAGAGAATTTTGTATTGGCCCCAGAACAGAGCCCTATGGGACACCCATGGTTAGAGTCATAACCTGGATGAATATCTAGCAGAGCATACAGAGGAGGAGAGGTCTGATGGGTGGGAGGAAAATGAGAGAGGAAGAGTGTCCCAAAAACCCAGGGAGAAGAGAGTATCAAGGAGAAAGGTGATCAGTGGTGTCATAAACTGCAGAGAGGTCAAGAAGGATGAGGGCTGAGAAAGCACCATTGTATTTGGCCTTTTTATAGACCAGTATTTTCCACGGTACTTAGTGAAGTAGTTAGTTGTTTTGTTACGTTGGGTTTATAATGTGTGTTTAACTTTTTTCAGATTTTCCTCAATTGATTCACCCAACAACTGTATTAAATATTTAAGACAGGTGCTATTATTCCTGTTCTACAGATGGGGAAATTGAGACAGTGTGAGAGTAAGTGATTGGCAAAGTTTACATACTGTTAGTGGCACAAGCCAGGACTGCAACCCACATACTTCAATTCCTTGTCAGGATTCTTTCAACTGAAATTCTAAACGTAGTAAACTAAACTAGCAGTCCAGAGAGTGAGTTGAGCTGAGATTAAAGTGAACAGCATTGCTGGGACTTCTCAAGACATGGTAATGACACCAATGTACTGTTACTGGAGATGTAAACTAGTCCAACTGTTTTGGAAAATAATTTAGAACTGTAAAAAAGGGGCTATAAAACTGCACACCCTTTGGCCCAGCACTACCACCATTAGGTCTGTATCCCAAAGAGATCGGAGAAAAAGGAAAAGGGCCCATATGTACAAAAATCTCTATAGCAGCTCTTTTTGTGGTAACAAAGAATTGGAAAGTGAGGGGATGTCCATCAACTGGTGATTGGCTGAACAAGTTGTGCTATATGATTGTGATGGAATACTATTGTGCTGTAAGAAATGATGAAGGGGATGGTTGCAGAAAACCCTGGCAAGTCTCATATGAACTCTTGTGAAGTGAAGTGAGCAGAACCAGGAAAACACTATACACAGTAAAAGCAGTGTTGTAAGGATGATCAACTTTGAAAGACTTGGTTATGCTGATCAAGATAGTGATCCAAGAGATGCATGATGAAAAATGCTGTCCACCTCCAGACGGAGAACTGATGAACTCTTTGAGTGCAGATTGAAGCATACTTTTTTTTAACTTTCTTTATTTTTCTTGCTTTTTTGTATGCATTTTCTTTCGTACCGTGCTTAACATGGAAATATGTTTTGCATAACTTCACATACATAATTTGATATTACATTGCTTGCCTTCTGCGGGGGGGAGAGAATTTGGAAATCAAATTTTTAAAAAATTAATGTTCAAGAAATTTTATATGTAATTGAGAAATATTTAATGAAATAAAAATTATTTTTTAAAAAAATAATTGTGTTAGCCAGAGACTCAAAAATCAGGAAAGTAAACCTCAGGGCAGAGTCATCTCCACTTGGGCAGGGCAGCCAGTGGGGAAGTAGCATAGTCCAAGAATATGTTAAGTGGGGAATCCTTCAGCTGGACAATTACAGTGGCCTCCTAATTGGTCTACCTAGCTCAGGTCTCTCTCCCCACTCCAATCTATACTTTATATGGATGCCAGAGTGGTTTTTCTTAAGAGTAGATACATCTGTGTCCCTCTCTTAAGCAGATTTCAGTGGCTCCCTGTGTGCCTCCAGGATGAGGCATGTTTGACTTTCCAGCTCTTCAGCACTTGGCTCTAGCCAGACTCCAACTTTGTAGTCTCCTTCCCATTTTCAGTTCCAGCCAAACTAGCTTTCTAGTTGTTCTCACACAGTTTATCTCCTACCATCTTTATGCCTTTGCTGGTCTTAGGATGCGCTCCCTTTTCCCTTGTGCCTTCTCAAATCCCTAACTTCCCTCAAGACACATCAAGCTTTTCCCAATTCCCACAATTGCTAGTGTCGTTACCATATAATTATTTGTATGTCTATCTGCACATATTCTATATGTGCCAGTGTATGTCCATGGCTCTCTAGCAAAATGTAAGTTCCTTAAAAGCAGGGATTGTTTTGTGCTTTGTGTTTATACTTTGCACCTAATACCTTTCTTGCCCATAGTCAGAACTTAATATGTTTGTTGATGGTCTGATTATTGCCCACCTCTTTCGTGTATCTTATATGTTATATATACATATCTTATGTCATATCGTTAAGATTTAATCTTTGGAATTAAAATGAATGTTTAAAATATTGTATGTATTACAGTAAGAAATTGCCTAATTATGGCACCTTCAGGAAGAAAACATGCTGGGAAATCTGGGAAACCAGCAATGGAAGCTCAAGTGAGCCGAGCTTATGACTTTGACAAAGAGGACAAGAAAGATCTGAGTGGTTCTGAGGAAGATGCCAGGGAAGGTACAGTGTAACAAATTTACATCCTGATAACAATTGTATATACTGCTCATGGTTGTATGAAATGCATTGCGTTGTATGTTTTGCAATTCATAAAACGTAAATAGAATATGGTTTATATTCTTCCCCCCAAATTTGCATTTATTTCATGTGCTCATACATATGTATGTTTGTGATATATTATTATAGCCTTTAATAGTTCAGATACCCTATAATTAGTTAGGTTATAGATGGGTAGAACTTTCATACTTCAAGTATTTGATTTCCCTGGTCTCCTTCAACTGATGCAGGTCATGTTCCCTTCTCTACCTTAGTTGGTGGCCTTTTTGGGCTAATATGATTGAAATTTCATCATCCTTTAGCCAGTCTGGCAATGAGCCTCTCCAAATTTAGCTAGAGTGCTCCTCAAATGATATAGAGTTGCTGGGCCTGCACATAAAGCCTTTCCATTTTGGTAGGACCTATGCTAATGGCACAGCCTTTGAGTACCTTGAATCATCACCACACCACATAGTTTAGAAAACAAAACAGTTTTAAAGGGCTTTACCGTAGTCAGTAACCTAAAAGGTCAAAAGATGAGAATATTACTTCATGAGAATCTTCCATAGTGCCAAACTTAATTTTCGACTCTTCTCTTTTGTCATGATTCTAGGAGAGACTACAGTAATTGAAAAGCATGGGAAAAAAAGACCTTCTACTGGCATTACTCATGGAACAGTTGAAGAAGATATGGGGTAATATCATTAAAATAGTTTATCTCATTCAGTTAATTTTTTAAAATAATTTTTAGTGATGTATTTTGTTTTTTATATCATAATTTCATCCAGTATCCCTCCTGCTCCCTCTCCTAGGCAGCCATTCATATAACAAATGACCATTTTTAAAGATTTCCTCAGTCCCCACAAAAATAAGAAAAAAAGGAAGAGGAAAAATTAGCACAACTGATGAAAATATTAGAAATGTTTGGAAACATGTAACGTGCCATACCTGTGGATTTCTTTGCAAAGAGAGTGTCTACCCATATGTCTTCTTTCAGGTCATGCTTGATGTTTATAATTCTTCTATATTCACTTTTAATTTGTGTTTGTGTGTGTGTTGCTTTTCATTTACATTGTTATTGTGTATTTTGTTTTCTTGGTTCTGCTTACTTTACTCTGCATCAATTCATGTAGATCTTTCCATACTTCTTTGTATTTATCAATTCATCATTTCTTACTGCATAGTAATATTCGATTACATTCATGTACTGCAATTTGTTTAGCTATTCCCCTGTCGGTGGGCGTCTACTTTGTTTCCAATTTGGGGTTATCACAAAAAGTGCTGCTATAAATACATTGGTGGATATGGAGACTTTCTTCTTATTTATATTTTCTTTGGGATATAAGCTCAGTAATGGAATTGTTTCACCCTAGGTCAAAAGGTATAGACATTTGAGTCACTTTATGTGCATAGTTCCAAATTGCCTTCCAAAATGCTTGTATCAATTCACAGCTCCACCTACAATGAACTGGCACACCTGTCATCCCATAACTCCTCCAGCATTGATTATTGTCATTTTATAGTCATCTTGCCAATCTGCAGGGGCTGAGGTGAAACCACAGGGTTGTTTTGGATTGCACTTCTCTTAGCAGTAGTGATTTAGGTGTGAATGCTTTGCAGTTCTTCCTGTGAGAACTCTTTGTTCCTATCCTTTGACCATGTGTCTTATTAGGGAATGGCTATTAGTCGTGTGTACATATACACACACATTTGCTGTTTACATATTTTAGATACTAAAGCCTTAGAGAAATTTGATAAAGATTTTTTTTTTCCATTCCACTGCTTTCCTTCTTATCTAGGTGAATCAATTTTGACTGTGTGGAAGCTTATCAGTTTCATATAATCGGAGTTCTCTATTTTATTTTTTATAATGCCTAATCCCATGTTTGCTTAAGAATATATCCTCCTACCCAAAGCTGTGAGAGCTATATGCTCTACTTGTTTTCTAATTTTTTAAAGAGTAGAAGCTTTAATGTTAAGGTCATGGATCCATTTGGTATGTAAGGGGTGGTAATCCTGTTTTGTGCCAGATTGCTTTCCGGTTTTCCAGCTTGTTCAGAGAGGTTCTTTTTCCTCAAGTAATTTATGTTTCCCCATTTATAGTGCACTGGATTATTGGGTTCCATTGTTTCTGATTCTTTGTTGTCCAGTCTGTTCCATTGATCTCCTTTTTCTATTTTTTTAACCAATACCAGATGGTTTCAATGACTTCTATTTTATAATATAGTTTGAAATCTGAAAATGCTATTCCCCCTTCATCTCTACTTCTTTTCATCATTTCACTTAATTTTCTAGATCTTTTGGTTTTTTTCCCAAACAAATTTTGTTACTATTTTGTCAAACTCTATAAAACATCCTCTTGGTAATTTGATTGGTGTAGCATTGAAAGTGTAAATTAATTTTGGTTGTATTCTTATTGGGCTTGTTTCAAGTCATGCAGCTTTTTAAAGTTGTTCTTTATTTCTGTGAGGAACGCTTTGTAATTGAATCTGTACAAGTGTTTTTTGTGCTTTGGTAGGTCATTTCTCAGATATTTTATGGATTCTATAGCTATTTGGATTGGGATTTCCCTTTGTATTTTTTTATCTTGTTATTATAGAAAGGAAGAATTTTGAGGGTTTATCTATTTTATTCTTTTTATCTATTTTATTCCTTAAGTGTTTGTTTTGCATTCACCTTTGATGACATTATTGTCTTAATTGGTATGTTTGCTGATTTCCCAATTATACCATCATATCAGCCAGTAGAGAGTTTTATCTCTTCTGTAGCTATTTTTATACCTTTAATTTCTTTCTCTTGTCTTATTGCTGCTGCTAGCATTTCCAGAGCTTTGTCAAATACTAGAGAGAGTGGGTTCACATCCTTGCTTTATTCTTGTATTTATACCTTGTTTATCCTCATTATATATGATGCATGCCTTTGGTTTTAGATAGGTGCTTTTTATATTAAAAAAAGATCCCTCTATGCCTACACTTGGTAGGATTTTTAGTTAAATGTTTTGATACAAGTCTACTTTGATGCAAATAGAAAATGCTGTATGAAAAAAATACTCCTTTTGAAACATTTTTTTAAATGTACAACTAAATTGTAATTTTTTTTAGGGGTGAAGTACAGAACATGTTGGAAAGATTTGGAGGTATGTTTCAGGATTCCATTATATTTAAAGATACTCTTTAGTTTAAAGCTTGGTAAAATTTGTAGAAGAGGGTAGAATCATAGGATTGCCAGACCTCAAGAGGTGTGTGGGCCTTGTGTACTGTTTCACTTGCATTTGATTTGAGAGATGTATTTGGTCTGTAGGGCTTCCTCGTTGTTTGCTCATTTTTAATGTGAAGAATGAGTAGCTGTGCTGAAGGAAAGCATTTAGTAGGAATGTATTTTTATGTTCACATTTAACTTAATCTAGGAAGTACTGTGTGGAAAAGGAACTGGGGAGGTCCAGCCTAGACTCTAGTGAGAGTTTATTAAATGCCTATTATGTTCCAGGCACAGAGGAAAACGAAGCCATTCGTATTCTGAAGGTGCATTCATTGTCTCCTGAAATGACACGCAGTCGTTGATGTTGGGCTAGAGGTGACCTCAGAGGCCATTTTAGTCCAGTCTCCACTAGGGGGTGCCCTGGAGGTAGGAAGCTTTGAGTTCAAATAGCCCACCAGACACTTATTGTCTGTGTGACCTTGGGCACCACACATAGCTTCTGTTTGCCTCGCTCTAGTCATCTGTAAAATGTAGATTTAGAAAAGCACTTGTCTCTCAGGGCTATTGTAAAGATAAAATGAGATAATATTAGTAAAGCCCTTAGCAGACATAGTGCCACATAGATGTATTATTAGCTATTATTGTTTTTCACAGAGCAAACTGACACCATTGAAGGTTAAGTGACTTGCCCAAGGTCACAGGGTAATGTCAGATGTAAGATTTGAACCCAAATCTTTTGAGTCCAGTTCCATTGCTTTTTCCATTGTACCACACTATAGCTTAAATAAAGTGTACACACACACACACACACACACACATATACATATACATACATGATGGACTGCCTATTCTTAGATGCAATCACTAATGAAATAGTTTTGCAGTCTACATTTAATTTATAGCATGTGCATATAAATGATTATTGGTGGGATTAGATTTGAGCTAATTAAAAGCTTTGAATTTCAGGAATTCCTGAGTATGCTTTTATTTTCCGTAAATTCTCTAAATTGATTGATATTTTATATCTTGAGTAGAAAATTTCATCAAATTTATACCTTAAAGCATGAAAGAATTAGAGTTCATCCTCAAATCATTTATATGCACATGTAATCTAGGAAAGAAAGAATAAGTTCCCCTTTACTTAAACCTATTCCAGTGTTGGGGAGGGGTGGATAAAGAATGTAGTTAAAAGTACTGGAGTTTAGTTGTTGTTATAAAAAGTTGCAAGAATTTCTGTAGCCCACCTGGAAGCATTTTTCTTAGGGAAAAGATTACAAATTAGGGAAAGAACCACCTTTTTGTAACAGTTAGTACAATGCATATTTTAAATGTAAATATATCAGGGCTTCCTAGTAGTGATGAACTCAAATCAGTTTGCTTAAGTTTGTGTGGTCAATATATAAGCATCACAATGTGAAATTCTGATAAATATTTCATTATAGCCGATATTAACAAGGCTCTCCTTGCAAAGAGGAAAAGATTGGAAATGTATACTAAGGCTTCTCTTAAAACTAGCAATCAGAAAATTGAGCATGTTTGGAAAACACAACAAGAACAGAGGTAAGGATTTATTTTTTTAATAACTCTTTTTTTCAACATGAACGCAAAATGTGCATTGAAAAGGCAGTTTTATTTTGTGTTTAATGGTACACTAAGTGAAAAACACATTGGACTGTTTTTCTCTTGGAGTGAGAGAGAAGAGCTTTTGCTATCCTGTATACATACCCTCAGTCCTCAAAGGTAAAGTCACTTCTTGATCCTCCAGATCAGTCGCTTTTTTCTTTGACGTCTGTGGAAACTGATGCTGTTGAGTACTTGTTCCTCCTGACTGTCTTCCCTTTGTGTCACACTCTTGTAGGCTTTCTCCTGCCTCTGACTGCTCCTTGAGTTCTTTCTTACTAGAGAACAGCAAGCCCTGTATGGGTGGCTGCTGGTCAGAGCTGCTCTAGAGCTGAGGGGTCAAACACGTGGCCCACAACACTCCTGAGTCCTCAGCGCGACCTGAACCAGATTCAAATGTAATTGGAAATATTGAACAGAATAACTGAAAATAGTCAGTGTGCTGCTCACAGGGATCCTGATGTATGGATTACTGGCCCCTCTTTCTATTTGAGTTTGATACCACTTGCTGTAGAGGTGCTCATTTTTCAGGTGGGGGTTGGACTAGAAGACCCCTGAGAGCCTCAATCTGAAATTTTATCACTCTCTTCACTGGCCTTTATTTTTCTGGCTGTTCTTAGGTTTCTTTTTGTATCGTCTTCTTTGGGAGAACTAGTGTTTTGGCTGTAAATCTTCTTTGTGGAGGACTACCAACCTACATCTCCAATTCTGATCTCTCTGTGTGGCCACAGATTCATATTTCCAATTTCCTCTTGGAATATGGGAATGTGGAAAAGAGGCTAAGGGAATAGAGAAGAGAATAAGAATTTATATATCAACTGCTATGTCCCAGGCATTGTGCTGAGCACTTCACATATATTCTCTCATTCTGTTCTCACATCTCTGCAAGGTAGGTGCAGTTATCTTCATTTTATAGCTGAGGAAACTGAGGAAGTTATGTGACTCACCTAGGGTCACACAGCTAGTAATTGTCTGATGGATTTGAACTCAGGTCTTCCTGACTCTGGGTCCAGGGCTCTAGCACCCTTAGGGCAAGGGGAAAAGGAAGCTGTTTACTTAATGATTCAAATCTCTGGCAGGTGGAGTGGCTTTGTGCTTATTTGGAGCAGGGCTTCTTAATCATTTCTGTGTCATGGGCCCCTTTGGTAGTCTTTGAAACCTAAGGAGTCCTCCTCAAAATAATGTTTTTATAAGCATAAGATGAAATATATGGGGTTACAAAGGAAGCTACAATGTTTATATTTCAAAATGTTTTTTTAAAAAGTTCACAGGCCTCTACGTTAGGAACCTCTGCTTTTGACCAGTTTTCATAGCGTGTATTTCTTAGGGAAAAAAAATAGACATTTCCTACATGTCCATCTGGAAGTAGAAATCATGGCATGCTGTGTCTGGGTGGGTCTGGCAGGGCCCACATCTGCTGTTGCCTCTTAGAGCTCAGAAAGGGTCCTCCCAGTGAAGGCCAGGGTTCAGAATGAAGTGACTCTTTTCTGGGTCTTGTCACTCACAGCAGCATATGAACATTTTTCTAGGAGACACATTAGTCATCTTTTTTTTCCTTAAAATAAAAGATAAAGGCATGGTTTGATGGAAAGAACATTGAAGTCAGAGGACCTCAATTGAGTGCTGGATCTGAGACTTCATCTGGCTGAAATGACACTGGTTTCTCTTGGTCCTCATTTTCCTCATCTCTAAAATGAAGAGGCAAGATGTAGGTGACTCTTTAGATCCCTTCCAGACCTAATTAAGTATGTATGTGTATAGGCCTGCTAGCACCTCAAGCCAAAAAACAACCTGTCACCTTTCTCCCCAAGCTTGCAGTTCTTGACTTCCTTCTGTCAGTGGCATCATTCTCCCAGTAGCCTCTCTTGGCTTCATCTTTGACTCCTCCTTCATCCAATATATTAAAATGGTTGATTAGATATTTACAATATTTCTATTGTTATCCCAGTTTAGGCTGTTGTTACCTCTCATCTGTAATGCTGCTCTAGTTTCCTTAACCTTTCTCCCTGCTGCCATTTCTTCCCCATTTTTCATCCTACATAATGCTGCCATTTTAATTTTCTTAATGCACACAGGCCGTGACACTTCTAAAAAATATTCAGTGTTCCATCTTCACTGTTTAGTGAAATTTAGGCTCCTTATCCTGACATGTAAGACTCTAGAATCTATCTTTCTGATCTTCCTCCCTTAATACCTTTGTCTCATACAGCTCTCTTCAGGTGTTTCACAGCCCAGCCTGATGGATTGTTTGTTCCTCAGACATGTCCTGTGATTCCCATCTCTTTTCCTTTGTTTACACCTTGTCTGTGCCTGGAGTCCCCTTTCTGTACCCAATTTTTCTGCCTTTTGACCTCTTCCTTCCCACTCTTTAAGTACCAACTCATATTCTATGTCCTCCATAAAGCCCTCTTAATTCAGTCTGCTGATAGTCGTCTTTCAGTCATCTGATCTCATTTGTTACTGTTTGTGAAAAAAAAAATTGTTTTTTGCAAAAATAAATTTTTTATTTAAAAAACATTTGCTACTATTATGTACTTATGAGTTCATAAAATATTTTATGAATTTTGTTGGATCAGCCATTGAATGAAATCTGTATAGTGCTAAAGTAGAAAAAAGTAAATCGAAATAAATACAAGCTGAAATCTTATATAACCTAATTATATCATAAATTCATATTCCTATTTTGAAATGAACCCATTTATTCTTTTAAAGTATAAAATTGACGTCAAATATTTATTTTGAGCCAAAATTAGTTTTCCTTAGTATTTTTTGTTTATTGATTTTTCAAAAGCACTTAATTTGGTAGAACAAAATATGTTTTTCCCAATCATATCTTAATTTTTTTCAATTAATAAAAAACTATTTTCTCACCCTTCCACTAATTCCAGTTGAAAAAAAAAACTTTTTCTGATCATGATAAAAATTCTATCCTTTTTCAAGAACAAAAGTCACCAAATTTTATGTTAGAGAAAAACTCTATATAAGATCAGGTGTCAGAAAACTCTGAGAACTTTTGCCCTGGAGTAGAGACTCCTGTCATTGTTAACTAGCTGTTAACCATTTTGCAAATCAAATCCCAAGCTCACATGTTCTGTTTATAGACTGTGCAAGAGTCACTGGAAAGTACTTAAGAGAAATGCAGTGTAAGAGAATCAAGTAATAGAACGTTATCTGTCGCTATGGATAAATAACAAAATAAATTCCCTATAAATTTCAGAGAGATTATAATCTATCCCAGCTAGAATAATACAGTTATTTCAGAATTTATAGTCCACTGGCAAAAGTGTAGGGTTCACTGCTACCTGTTGAGTGGACTTCTGAGGAAACCTTTCAGCTCTATCGGAACTCAGGTACTTCTGAGTTCAGGAATGCCATGGTGATCATCCTGTTCCATGTACTGCCCCTCCTGTCTTCCTGTGACTCCAGTCTGTAGCTTTCCTTTGGTGGCTCCGCTCACCTCCACTTTCCCAGCTTTGCTTTTTAAACCCCGCATCTGTCAGAAAACTCTGCCAATAAGAGTCCTGGACAAGAGAAATGGGAAATGTAGCTTTGGAAAATTTTCCCAGTCAATGATGTTCTCTTGGCATTTTGTGAAATCCTGAGCACTTTTCTCTATGATTGTAACCCAAAGTGATTCCAAAAAATGACTCAAAAAATTTTTAAAATACTTGTATTTAACAACTTCCCTCAAAAAATTCTGGTGGTATTAATGCCTTACCTTTTGTATATTACATTACTTCTCTTTCATGGATCTATGATTTCCTCAGTAGGGGAAGCTCTTCTACTTGTGCAGATTGCAGTCACTCCAACCCTCAGTAGTTTGTCTTCATTAGTAGTTGGGGTAAAAAATAATCACTCCCTGGTGACCACTCTTCTAGCAGTGTTACTGAATCTAGATGGCTTGGCCCTGTGGTGGCAGATAGGTGTTTAAAGTTTGATTGGATTTGTGAGAATTTGCGTTCCGGTGGCATGACAACTCAGGGTCACCTCCCTTTATGATGAAATGCTTGATTAGTTATGTAAATTGTTCAGTTACTTCAGAAAATTGATTAATTTAATTTTAATAATGATAGTGATAGTGTTCACGGTTCTTTTAATAGGCAAAAACTCAACCATGAATATTCTCAGCAGTTCCTGACATTATTTCAGCAGTGGGATGTGGATGTTCAGAAAGCTGAGGAACAGGAAGAAAAACTAGCTGTTGGTATCGTACTTGGCATACTTTATAGTTGATATTTTATAACTAAGTACAGAAAAATACAGATAATCGCCCGGTAATAATCCTGTGGAATTGAATGAGCTGCTCTTGCCCATGGCTTGTTCTGTCTTGTGGTCTTGTTAGCTGTGTTACCCTCACAGATTCAGGGTCAAACTGGGCATGTGCCCAGAAAAGCCAATTTTCTTGTACTTTAAAAGATCAGAAGTCATAATATTAGTATTGACTCATTTTCCTTATAACAACCTCATGCAAATATTATCCCTGTTTTACAGATAAGGACACTAAAGCTCAATGAATTTTAATGACTTGCCTGTGGTCTTAAAGCAAAGAAGTGTCAGAGCCAGAATTTGAACCCAGTACTCTTTCCTTTGCATGTCTTTCTTTTCATTTTATCATGTCTTCCTTCCCTCTCTTCTTAAAAAAAAGAGTGGTAGAATACCACTAATATTGGTTATTACTTGCTTCATAACTAAAATTAGTAATAAATGTCTTTAAATCACAACTTAAAGTCATAAAATATTTTAAATTTTTTCCTGATTCTTAAATAGCCAAAGTACTTCTACTATGTTATTTAAAAATTACTTGTGCAGTATATGTATGGCCATGGAGTAGTTTTCCTTGTGGGATTTTAGATGTAGGACTTTAACATCCATTGTATCCTGTTCCCTCATTTGGTCTGACAGAAAAAAAATATCGGTTGTTTTCAGGTCCATTGTCTACATGATTATGCCAGCTTTCCTCTCTGAGTGTGTAGGTTTTACATTGATTTTACATTGATACAGGAGTGCTTCAGTTAACCATGTCTTGCAGTTGAAGTTACACAAATTAATTGATCAGATCACAGTTACTTGACATTGCCCATCGCTAATAATTTGTGATTTCATGCTAAGAATAATTTTTTTCTTTTAAAATAACATACTTCATTGTATTACCCCATAGCACATAACACAGTGTTACAAATGTACACACAAAGAATGTTTGTTGAATTGGCACATTTAGCTAATGTGTATTTGTCTGTATAATTCATTTACTTATATGTAAATAACTTAGGTGTACGGTAACTAAATAGTTAAACAACTCAGCTGCTAACTAAATGTTTCAGCAATTCAGCAAATATTTATCCAGCACTTATAATGTTTATTGGCTATGGTGAGATACAAATAATAGTTCACATTTAGCACTTTACACTTTGCAAAACGTTTTACAGATAATCTCATTTGAGCCTCTCAACAACCTTGTGAGATAAGTGCTATTATTATCCCCATTTTATTAATGAGAAACTGAGGCTGGAAGAGATTAAGTGACTTGCTCGGGGGTTCAAAAGCAGGTCTTCCTGACTTCAAGGCTGCTGTTCTATCTCCGACATCAAGTTGCCTGTAAAGAAGCAGGCATCCCACTCTTGAGAGTTTATTATCTCATGAGAAGATAAGCTCTATCCATATGAAAAAAAAAACAATACTAAGTAGAAGGAGGGATGCAAGATAAGGAGGCTGAATTGAGTAGTTAGTAAAGACTTCTGTAGTAGAAATCTCATTTGGAAAAAGGAAAGGACCAGAAGCGTCTGGCTAGTTGGGAAGGGAGGGCAGAAGGAACATTGTGAACCAAAGAGAGTGGTTTGTGTTTGGGAACAGTGAGTAGACCAGTGGCTAAAGGTCCAGAGACCAGAGAGTAGGACCAGCCACATGTTGAAGGATTGTCAGTATTAGAACGAGCGATTCAGGTTTGATTATTACAGCTCACTTTTGATTATTTATGTTATCCTGTTGGCCAGTTCTCACAAATCATACTTCAATTCATGACCTCTATTACTTGAAGCTCTCTTCTAAAATAGGTTTTACCATGTAATAAATGTTATCAGCAATAAATAGTATTTAAATCTATAACCTTATTTTTGTTTTTATATTTGTTAAGTGTTTACAGTCAAAAAAAATGTACACGCACACATGGATGTACATGTACATACACACTAAAGGCAGCTAGGTGGCACAGTGGACACAGCGTTGAACCTGGAATTCAACGAACCTAAGTTCAGATCCGGCCTCTGGCTGTGTGACCCTAGGGGAAGTCACTTAACTTCTGTCTGCCTGAAGTCCTCATCTGTAAAATGAGGACATAATAGCACCTACTCTCTGAGATGTTATAAAGATAAAATGAGATAATATTAGCAAAGCACTTTGCAATCCTTAAAGTGCTTTATAAATATTAGCTATTATTATTATACATTTATTGAGCACTTACTGTGTGCTAGAAAGACAGAAAATGTAGATAAAACTTGATTCCTGTATTCATGGGGTTTATGGTCTGGTGGAGGAATATGACGAAAGAATATGATAAAAAAAACAATGCATAGTAAATGCATGAAGGGGGGGGTAAGCAAAGAGCTATATGCAGTTTGAGTATGGAACAGTTATTAGTACTGACTGAAATTATCGGGAAAGGCTTCAGCAAAGAGCTCATCGTCCCTCTCAGATCCTCCTGTCTGACTTCCTATTTCTGCTGAGAGCACCACTATATTATAGTTCCCAGGTTTGCAGCCTCAAAGTCATTCTCAATTCAGATAGAAGTCATGGAGTCCAGAGGAACAGGTTCTGGTGGGAGAGATTCATGTCTGTCTTTGCTACACAGGGGCTAAGATAATGTCCAGTCCTAATCTTTCAGTAGAGTTAAATATGTGTTCTTTTCCCTTTGACGTGCTTTAAGAATTATTTCATATAGTGACAGGTAAAAAGGACTATCAGACCATGGTGATAATGATTTTGTTGCTATTCAGTCATTATTAAATCTAGTGTTGAATTTTTTTAGCCATAATTTTCATTTTGTAAGATCATGACTGTCTTACTTTTGCTTTTAGAATATGTTTCGACAACAGCAAAAGGTTTTCCAACAAGCCAGAATAGTTCAGAGCCAGAGACTGAAAACAATTAAACAACTATATGAACAGTTCCTAAAGGTCTGGTATATGTATTATCTTACTACATTTTAAAAACATAATGGGAGCTTTAACAGTTTTTCTGAATTGATGGGAAATGTTGACAGAAGCTCTGTTTCAATACTTCATCGTGTCCTAGAGGTTACCATTGGCTCTCTCTGTTGCTGGAGTACAAGCTCTGACATTTTATTAACCCATCTGTTAGTCAGTAAATGTTGACTGCCTACTGTGTGCCAAGCACTATGCTAAGCACTAGGAGACAAAGGCAAAAAAAGTCAATCCCTGCTCTGAAGGGATTCAGTAGGGGAGACGGCATGCAAACGACTGTGTACAAACAAGCTATAGACAGCATAAATTAGGAATAATCAACAGAAGGAGGCCACTAGAATTAAGAGGCATTGGGAAAGACTTTCTGTAGTGGTTGGGATTTTAGCTGGGACTTAAAGGAAGCTAGGAGGTGAGGATGAAGAGGGAGAGTATTCCAGGCTTCGGAACGGGCCAATAAAAATGTCCTGTGGGGAGATGGGAGGTCTTGTGCGAGAAAGAGCAAGGAGGTCAGTATAAGTGGATCGCAGAGTATTGGATGTGGGGAGTAGGTTGTAAGGAGACTGGAAAGGTTGGCAGGCAAGTTGTGAAAGACTTTGAATGCCAGAGGCTTTTTTTATTTGATCCTGTAGATGACAGGCAGCCACGGAGTTTTAAGATCCCTTATGACAGCTGAGTAGAAGATGGACTGGAGTGAGGAGAGCTTTGTGGCAGGCAGATCCACCAGTAGCTATTTTAATAGTCCAGGTGTGAGGTGATGAGGGACTGTGCTGGAGTGGGGGCAGCGTCAGAAGAGAGAGGGGAGCATATGCGAACGATGTTATGAAGGTGATCTTGACAGGCTTTGGCAACAGCTTGGAAATGGGGGGTGAGAGAGGGAAGAGTTGATAAGGACACTGAGGGTGTGAGCTTGGAGGCCTGGGAGGAGAGTGGTGAAGAAGAGAGGGGTTCAGGGCATGGTCGGGGAGAATCGTGAGTTAAGATGTCCAGTAAGGAGTTGGAAACGCAGATGAGAAGCGAGCAAAGAGGTTAGGGCTGGACAGGTGGATCTGAGAGTCATCCAGCCGGAGTTTGGCAGCAGGTGGGATGCTGTCCAAGAACAAAGACAACCAGGTATAAAGAGTTCAACAAAACCAAACCAGAGGGCTCTGGTGGGGGGTTGTCAGTCCCTTCTGTTCCTCTGTCAGGATTTCAGGGCAGCTGATCATCCCCCTTGGTTCTCCTGCCACATGGGTGGTGTGGGATTCTTGCCTGCATTTAGGGTTGTGTTAGTATTTCCTTCAATCAAATTACGTGGCTTGTTTGCCTTCATCTTCTTGACCAATTAAGTTTCTCTACATCCCTTTTATATGCTTCAGTTACCTCTATAAATATCATTGCTTTAGAAAAATATTTAAACAAAGTGGTAAAAGGAACATAATGATATCAAAGCATCCATCATACCCATGTGCCTGTCCCATGTCCCATCCCCAACCCTGTTACAGTACTCATCCACGCTGCCTAAGCAGTAGGGGCTTCCAGGAGACTGCACATAGTAGTGAAAACGGGAAGCTATCTGGAGGTGAGTACTCCACTCGGCCTGCTGCTGTCACAGGTTTCCATTCACACACACACACACACACTTCCCTGTCTCTGTCTTTTAGACTGCATGCATTGGACTACACTAGCAACATCTGTTGGGAGGTGGCAGTGCCTGTTAGAAGGGCCCCTCCAAAGGGAAATGACACAGGGAGGATTAACGGGCTGGTTCAATTTTGCTTGCTACTAGCTCTTTCCCAAAGCTCAGTATTCTCTCTCAAAATCATACCTGTGCAAAACCCATGCTAACATATTCTTTGAGTCTGGGTATCACTGCTCTCTTGCCCATCTTACTCATCAGTAAAAATCTGTAGTCCGTGAAAGCTTTATGGAGTATATTTGAATATGTGTGAACACACATCATAAATAATCCAAATCAGCATGTAACGGAAACAACACATAAATATTCTGCCTGCATTGCAAAGTCCACCAGCTGCCTAATAACTGGCTTTTACATTATAACTATGTGCAGCAAGCATGAGCATATGTGATGATATGACACATAGCCGATACCATACATGACAGCATTACATATATTGGTCCTAAGCATAAATATGATATGTTTTATGTAAATTGTATGGGTTAATAAAATGCACAGATGCTGGGCCTTATGTTGGTTAACATTTTTATGACAATTGGATAAAGGTTTAGCTGGCATGCTCATTAAATTTGCAGGTGACAGTCTGGGAAGAGCTAACATACTGGATGACAGTCAGGATCCAAAAAGATTTTAACAGGCTGGATTATTGGTTCTTACTTAACGTGACACTCTTTAGGGGAGGAGAGAACTCCTTGGATAGAAAAAGTGAACTACACAAGTCATAGTTGGACAACTGTTCTGAAAACTGGAGGTTTTAGTAAACTTCAGATTTAATATGAGTTAGCAGGGTATTCTGGAAGCCAAAAAGGCTCATGAGATGTTGAACTGTCTTAAGAGAGACATAGCTTCCAGTATAGGAAGATAGTAATCCCACTGTACTATGCCCTTGAATATTATGCTCTGTTGTGGGTACCACTGGTGGGTATCCAAGGGAAGGCATGTAGGATGGGAAAGAGCCCTGTGTGTGTGTGTGTGTGAGAGAGAGAGAGAGAGAGAGAGAGAGAGAGAGAGAGAGAGAGAGAGAGAGAGAGAGGAGGAGGGGGAGAGAGAGAGAGAATGTATCTGAGGATCAGTTGAGTCTGGAAGAGAGTTCAGCCTCAGTATTGGTTGTTTAGTCATGTCTGACTTTTCATGACCTCATGGACCATAGCATGTCAGGACCTTCTGTCCTCTATTATCTCCTGAAGTCTATCCAAGCTCATGTTCATTGCTTCCATGACACTCTCTATCCATCCCATCTGCTGCTGTCCCCTTTTCCTTTTGCCTTCAGTCTTTCCCAGCATCAGGGTCTTTTCCACTGAATCTTTGTTTTCTCATTCTATGGCCAAATATTTAAGCTTCAGGTTCAGTATATGACTTTCCAGTGAATAGTCTGAATTAATTTCTTTAAATATTGAATGATTGGAGCTCCTTGCTGTCCAAGGGATTCTCAGAAGTCTTCTCCAGCACCACAATTCAAAAGCATCGGTTCTGTGTGCTCAGTTTTCCCTTCTCACAGCCATGCATTGCTACTGAAAAAACTGTAGCTTTGAATATACAGACATTTGTTGGCAAGGTGACAGCTCTGCTTTTTAGGGTGCTGTCCAGATTTGTCATAGCTTTCCTTCCAAGGAACAAGTGTCTTTTAATTTCATGGCTGCAGTTGCTGTCTGTAGTGATCTTTGAACCTAAGAATATAAAATGTGGCATTGCTTCCATTTCTTCTCCCTCCATTTGCCAGAAGCAATGGCACCAGTTGCCAAGATCTTTTTTTTTTTAATGTTAAGCTTCAAATCAGCTCGTACATTCTCCTCTTTCATCCTCATCAAGAGGCTTCTTCATTTCTCTTCATTTTCTGCCATCAGAGTGGTAGCATCTATATATCTGAGATTGTTGATATTTCTCCTGGCAAACAGAATTCCTTCCTTCGATTTGTCCAGCCTGGCATTTTGCGCGATGTACTCTGCATATACATTAACATGGTGACAGTATACAGCCCTGCAGTCCTTTGCCAATCTTGATCAGTTGTTCCACGTTTGGTTCTGTTACTTCTTGACCCACGTATGGGTTCCTCAGGAAACAAGTTAAGATGATCTGGTACTCCCATCTCTTTGAGGACTTGACTCATTTTGTTGTGATCCACAGTCAGAGGCTTTAATGTAGTGAATGGAGCAGAAGCAGATTTTTTTTGGAACTCCCTTTCTTTCTCCATAATCCAGCGAATGTTGGCAATTTGGTCTCTAGTTACTCTGCCTCTTGGAAAATCAAGCTGCTCTTCTGATGATTCTTGGTTCATGTTGCAGAAGCCTAGCTTGCAGAATCTTAAGCATGACCTTGCTAGTGTGTGAAATGAGCACAACTGTTTGGTAATTTGGACATTCCCTGGCATTGCCCTTCTTTACGATTGGGACGTAAACTAACCTTTTACAGTCCAGTAGCTACTGTTGAGTTTTCCAAATTTGCTGGTGTATTTTAAACACCCTCATCTTTTAGGGTTTTAAATAGTACAGCTGGAATTCCATTACTCCCACTAGCCTTATTGTTAACAAGGCTTCCTAAGGCCCACTTGACTTCATTCTCCAGGATGTCTGGCTCCTAGGTCTGTAACCATTGTGGTTATTGGTGACGTTAAGGCTTTTCTTGTATAGTTCTTTTGTGTATTCTTGCCAAGGGCAGCTAGATAGTGCAGTAGATAGAGTGCCAGGCCTGGAGTCAGGAAGACTCATCTCCCTAAATTCAGATCTAGACTTTCTAGCTGTGTGACCCTGGGCAAGTCACTTAACACTCTTTTCTTCAGTTTCCTCATCTGTAAACTGAACTGGAGAAGGAAATGGCAAACCACTCCAGTATCTCTGCCAAGAAAATCCTACAAGAAGTGGTGAAGAGTCGCACATCATGGAAAAACGACTGAACAGTCTTCCTGCCATCTTAATCTCTTCTACTTCTGTTAAGTCCCTGTCATTTTTGTCTTTTGCCCATTTTTGCATGAAACATTCCTTTTATCTCTAATTTTATTGAATGGATCTCATTTTTTCCGCTCCGTTTTCTATTTTTTTTTTTTGCTTCGCCCATTTAAGTAAGCCTTTTTTTTTTCCTTACCTCTCTGTTATCTGGAATTCTGCATTCAGTTGGCTGTATCTTTCCCTTTCCTCAGCTGTTTGTAAAGCCTCATCAGACCACCATTTTGCTTTCTTGGCTCTGCTTTTTCTTTGGGATGTTTTTTGTTGCTGTCTGCTATACAATATTGTGAGCCTCTGTCCATAGTTCTTCAGGCACTCTGTCTACCAGATCAGATCCCTTAAATCTATTCTTCATTTCTGTTTCATATTCATAAAAGATTTTATTTAGATCATACTTACACGGTCTGATAGTTTCCCCTACTTTTTTCAGTTTGTCTGAATTTTGCAGTAGGAGATTCATGATCAGAACCATAGTCGGCTCCAGGTCTTGTTTTAACCAACTCTGTAGAGCTCCATTTTTGGCGGCAAAAGTATATAATCGATCTGATTTCTGTATTGATTATCTGATGTCCATGTTCAGAGTCACTTTTTGCATTGAAAAAGTGTTTGCTATGGCCAACAAGTTATCTTGACTGAACTCTGTTAGCTTCTGCCCTGCTTCATTTTGTACTCCAGGGCCAAACTTGCCTGTTATTCCAGGTATCTCTTGATTTCCTACATTAGCATTCCAATCCCCTGTGATGAAGGTGACATCTTTTTCTGGCGTCATTTCTAGATGATCAGCCTCAGTAGGTGATGTGATAGCTGTGCTCAGGTATTTGAAGGGTTGTGTGTAAGGAAGGGTTAGGCTGTTCTTGGTTTGGGTCCAGAAGGTAGAAACAAGAGCAGTGGGTGGAGGAGAGACAAGTTTCAGGGAAAAAAACAAAACATCCTGACCATTAGAACTTGGCAAAAGTGGGATGGGCTGCTTCGGGAGGTGACTGATCTGCCTCTCTTGTGTATGTACCTTCTCTCCACTCACGGTCCCCTGCTTGGTATAGGCCCTTGTCACCTCTCACTCAGACTCCTGCAGTCAGTTTGCTCGGTCCACGTGGCCTCATCTTTCCACATCCCGATCTCCTCCGCTACAGGGCCAGTGACCTTCCTACAGTACAGATGTGATCATGGCAGCCCCTCATTGGCTCCCTCTTACCTTGGAGGATCAAATGGGAAATCCTCTCTTGGGCTTTTTATAACCTTGACTGTCTCTCCTCATACTCTGTGATCCCCGTGCTTTCTGACCTCACAGCCTGGACACACTATCCCCATCCATCCCTCCTTAACTATGTCTCTGGGCCGCCCTGGCTTGATTCCTGCCCCGGCTTGATTCCTGCCCCACTCACTTGATTCAGGCCGCCCCTTCTGCAGCAGGTCTGTCTGGTTCCCCTCACAGTTGGTGCTTTCCTTTTTTTTTTTTTAAATTTGGTTAGGCAGTGGGGTTAAGTGACTTGCCCAGGGTCACACAGCTAGTGAGTGTTATATGTCTGAGGCCAGATTTGAACTCAGGTCCTCCTGAATCCAGGGCCAGTGCTCTATCCACTGCACCAACTAGCTGCCCCATTGGTGCTTTCCTTCTGAGATGAGCCCCCAATCTCTTCTGTAGAGGAATCCTGTGTGTGTTATTGGCATGTTGTCTCTCCCATTAGGTGAGACAACTGAAGGGAGAGGAGAGGAGCAAAGGGGCTGGGTTTGCCTTTATTTATAGAGAGTTCTGGGCCTGGAGTCAGGGAGACTCAAGTTCAAATCCAGCCTGAGGCAGTGGTTGGATGACTCTGGGGCAAGTAATTTAACCAGATTTCTCAACTGTCACATGGAGAGAACGCTAGCACTCTCCTTCTGTAGGTGCTGTGTAAATGTCCACTACTATTAATAATTATATACACTTATTGACTGACCTTAGAATAGAGATTTTTTTTTAACTTTTTTGTGTCTTGGCCCCCTTTGGCAGGCCAGTGAAGCCTATGGACTGTTTCTCAAAATCATGTTTTCAAATGCATGAAATAAAAACAAGGAACAACAAAGGATACTAATTCTATTGAAATGCTGCTATCAAAATATCAAGAAAACAAATAGGGAGGTAGTCTGCCCTGGTCAGACCACATAGAGAGTACTATTTTCAATTCTAGGCACCAGTTTAGGAGAGAAACTATTAAGCTGCAGAGAATGTAGAGGAGGGCAGTCCGGTAACAACAAAGCACTGGGTGAAGTCTGGTTGGAAGACCTGTCAATACTTCCCTTTGTACCCAAATCTCCATATACAGCCGAAAGTACACTAAGACTTGTGGGACACCCTCAGCCTATCAGCCTCTTTTGAGTTCTGAAGTTATGTTGTTAAAAGTCTGTCAGAATTCATTACCAAGAACGGATAGAATTCCAAGCTGGGGCTCAAGAAGTCCTGAGTGGAAATGAGGCTTCAGGCTCCTCCCCCCAGGGTCGTTACGAAGCTCAAATGTAATCATTGTAAAGCTCTTAGCGCAGTGTATAGAGCACATAGTAAATGCTCTATCTAAATGTTAGCTATTTAATGAATTTGTGTTGATACAAATTAATTATTGATAAAGTGTTGCTAGGTAAATTAGGTCCTCTCCTAAATCACTAAGGATCATTTTAATTGGAGGGAAGGTTGAAAATGACTACTATTAAGAACCTTGGATCGTTGTCTTCAGATGATACTGTTTGGGAAACCTTTTCTCACCTCCTTCTCCAGCTGGTCACAAAATCTTAAATACTACATAGTAAACTGGAAAAACGCTGTTTTATACTCTCTGTCTCTCTCCATATATATATTTATAAAATATCTCCATACACGTGTGTGTGTCTCTCTCATGGTATGATAACTGGTACATCTTTTTATCCCCAGCATTTAGCCCAATGCCTGCACAGCCCACAGGGGGCCTTAAAATGTGTTCCTGCTATCACAAACCTTGTTCACTATTCTCCAGTATGTTTACTAGCAATAAGAGACATTTCTAACAGGATTCAGTCAGCCCTTGTCTCCTGTACCTAAGAATGTAAGAGGGTTTGAGGGTTTCCTGCCTCTTCCATTAACCCAGCACACTCATGTGGCAGATAATTATGTGTACTTGACTATTAATAGCTAATTTTTGAATTGTTTGACTTTAGAACAAACAAGTAGTATTTAATAACTGAGTTACTGGCCTTTTACTTTGTAGAGTATGGAAGACTTGGAGAAGAATCATGAAAACCTTCTTACAGGTGCACAAAATGAACTTAGAAAAGAAATGGCCATGTTACAAAAGAAAATTATGATGGACACTGTAAGTAATAATAATAATATGGTATATTTTTAACTGAAAAAATTAAGATTAAATCATTACATATTTTTCACCAAATAAAATAGTATATTAAGGTCACTTATTAACATTTCTTTAATATCTCCTTTCTTGTAACAGCAGCAGCAAGAAATGGCAAGTGTTCGAAAATCTCTTCAGTCCATGTTATTCTGATGGCTCTTTGAAGAATGAACTTGGACCTGAGTAATATGATACAATTACAACCATTAGCTGAAGGAAATGCAAATATTGGCTGTGGCTTAAGAAATCAGGTTTAAAGGTTATCTACTGTTATATGGCTTGTTTATCAATGCAAGATCCTCTGTTTTATATTGATTGAAAATGCCTACATAATAGTAAAGAGCAAGTTTAAATGTACTCCCTTTCAGGTTCTTTAGTATTAGTGAACTATTTTCCCCCCATTAATGGCTTCTAGCAATAAAGATTTAATTGAATTTCACCGTTCAGCCTCACTAGCTCTTTTTAGCTGCACAAAATACTAACCATCTCAACTGCTAAAAATTGGACTGAGTGCTGAGAAATATGTAAGTGTATACACACTGATGCTTTTTAAAAATCAGTTTGTGTTCTATAGTAAATGAAACAGCCAAGAAAGTAATTCATTAGTTTGAAAGACTGAACAGAGTATCTGAATTTCAGTTCTAAGGAATGAAAGTTATTTATAATTAAATAACAGGCTCTTGGCACTCACTGATTGAAAACATTTCGTAAATATGTACATTTCAGAGGTTGATACTGCTACATTCTTGCTTGGGGTATTTCATATCTGCCTTTATGCAGAAACAGGTATTTTTTCCAAATTAATATTTACATTAAATAACTTGGAATTTTGATTTTACCTTCTTAAAGTTTAAGCAATATTTTGCTTATGTACTTTTTTACACATAGCACACGAAATCTACAATCACATTTGGATTTAGCAAATACAGAATTAATTAGCACATGCTTGAAAATCATTTGGTTAAGCTTGTTTTATTCCAGAGTTACTGAAGATCAAAAGAGCAAAATGAATGATGTGCCCAGTAGGAGGAGAGGAGTGACTTTCTCGCTTTTCATATTTTCCCTCTCCCCCCAATTTGAGTTTTTCTTGGCTAACACAAGTCCATACAGATTCTCTGTGGTAGTTCACAAAAGAAGAAGTTAAAGATAATTTTATATTATGAATTAAGAGGAACATTATTCTTTCTGCAGAATCCTGTAGAGGGATGTAGTTTACTCTTGAGGCAAAGTCTATATTGGGAAGACAAATCTTCAGTCGTGTTTCAGAATTTGAAGAGGGGTAGGGTATGTATTGAATTTAGTCCATGGGGGGTAAAAGTTCTTTATAACTAGCTGTAGGATTTTTTCATCATATTTAGTTCTTCTAAGGACTATTTTCTTCTTTGAAGGGAAGACAAATGAGTTTGTATAATTCAGTGCAAAATCAGCATTTTCCCCAGCTTGCTGGTGAAATAGTTCTTTGATTATCTTTCTGAATACTCAAAACTGGGACTGGGAGGCAGGTGGCATTTGTAATAAATAATGAATAAATTGAAAAGGGCTGGGAGAATCATTTAAAACTAAGATTATTAGTTAGAAGTTGGCATTCTGTTGAGGCATTGCTATTCAATCAATATGTGGCCTGGATTTTATGAAGTAGGGTTATTTTGCTATAGTAGTTTTAAAATTCTACTTGTTTGTAGTTCTTGCTTTTCTGTGGGTAACACAAATCCCAATAATTTCTAAACTCTACAGATAACAATAGTTCTGAATCATTTATCAGTTCTTACTGTTACTGGGAAAATATTGAAAGATTTAGGAACTAATTTATATAGGAGCTAGTAATTTCTTTAGTAGTGGAACAGTCATCACCTTCACATCTGTTAATAGAAAAATGGCAAACAATGCTGGGTTGATAAAATATTGTCTTGTAAAACATTGTATTTGATTTGAGATGCACATCTTTACCACTTTTTGCCCATTATTAAGACAGCATTATGAGCCATGCACTTGAGGTGTGTCTAAAAAGTGAATTGCCTTAAGTTTTTTGACAGTTAAAGACTAATAATGTAAAAATGAATATTAAAAACATTTAAAATAGCCATTTTAGCTAATTAATTTCTTAAGGCAAATTTCACTGATTCTCCCATACTATTAATGTTGAAATTGCTCTGTTCCCAGCCCAGTTATGGAACAGATTTGTGCTTTAAGACCCAGTCTCAATGATGAAAGACAATGTATGGTAAGGGCTTTACAACTGAAACAAACACACAGAATCTGCATGACTTAGCTTTATGTTAAGTATCTTATCTGACAGTTATGGCCCCATTAATGTGCTTTTTTTCAGGGACTTGGTTTTCTTGGAAAGTTTCTTATCTGTACTCCTAAAAGCTGGGGTTTCCTTCACTCCTAGGGTTCCCTTAATAGCTTCTCCTCTTCTCCTTGGGCTATTAGTCAGTCACTATGGTTTTGAACCTGTTCAGGTGCATGAGGAATTGGAATCCTGAAGACTTGTAAATGAAAGTGATTTGCAATCTGCAAGATGAGAGCAGTGGAATATCTCAGCAAATCAAGTGAAGAGATGAACTTGAAAAAGAAAGAGACAAAACAGATCACCGTTCATGTAACAAGGTGCCCTTTGGTCATTTTGGTGCCTCACTGTGGCAGAGGGTCAGGTTGGGAGACAGGCACTTGTCGTCTTTGAGAGAGAAGAAGGGCTTGCACCAGCTCCTTGAAGGATTTTGAGTGTCAACTTACAGGGGAAAAGGAATGACATATAGTTATTGAATTAATAACCTAATTTTATTAATAAATATTCCCTCCCCATCTGAAAGAGATCTGTGAGTGGAGGCACAAAGGCAGAGACTTATTTCTGGATGAAATAACCAAAAAAGGATGTTATTAAAAGTATAAAGTCATGTCAGAAAAAAGGAAATTAAGTAGCATTATAGAGACCAGCCCAAGGGTCTTCTTACAAACCATTAGTTGTCCACAGGGTTTAAAATGCTTGGTGGTGTAGAGAGGGTGCTCCGAGAGGTTATGGGAGATGGCCAGGGTCACAGCTAGTGTGTATGCACATGAGGCAGGTCCTGAAGGAAGAGCAGCCTAGCACAGTGGACAGTACCACACCTGGGTTCAAATCCTACTTCTGACACTAGCTGTGTGACCAATTTCACCTCTACTGCATGCCTTGGTCCAGTTAAAGGCAGATAGAGGACATGGATAGAAATCCAAAAGGCACAGGCAGGACTGCTTTTAGCAGCAGCAGTTCCCCGAGGGCCTTTACTACAGTGGTATAGAAGTAAGAGTCACAGGGGATGTTTTGTATTATCTACAATAAGATCAAAAGCTTAGCATTAAAGTGCTCACTCACCATTGCTACCCACAGAACAATGTATTCGTCTATAAAATTGTTGAAGTACTGGTCCAAAAACAGAAGACCTGGCCCAATAAATGCAGGGTCCTGTAGACTTAGTTTACTTTTGGTCATGTGAGCAACCTATTTAATAAAAAGGGCAAATGAATGATCTAGAAATTGTTAAATGACAATTTGATAAAAAAAAAACTGTATAGACTCCCACAGATTTGAATAGCTTACCTTTTATTCTAAAAAAAAAAATTCAGTCTTCTTATTGAGACAGAAAACAATTCCAAAGATCACTTAGTGCTTACATTTCTGGGAACATTAGTTCAGCTGTCTTACAGAGAGATGTCTAGCTTATTCAATTTACTTGTATCTAAGTTAACATGAATAACTTAAAATATATAGCCAATGAGGTTTTATGTGTATGTTAGTTTAGTCTAATTCTTTCTCTACTAAATGGTTCATATTAGGATACAGTTTGAGTCTTAGAAGTTGGATCAGAGAAATAACTTCGACCAACAACTGGAATGGGGAAATCATGGTGGCAAGAGGACTTAACGTGACCCAACCTACCCTATCCTGTGAAATGCTGCCTATACATGTCACTCACTACCCTGGCTGTCTGACCAGTTACTTTATTTCTCTTGAGGACCAAATATAAAACACAGTTTTAACTAAACTGCTTACCACCAATTTTTGTGTGATTTTGGCATACACACACCCAAACATCATAATATAAAGACAGGGATGTTTTTCAAAGAGCTGTGTTGCAGATTTTTTGCAGATCATTATGGCCAGAAGAATAATTAGTCCTATATGGATGCCAGGTGACAGAACACTGGTGCCCTAAAGAAGAAAGCAGGAAATAAGTTTTCATATTTTTGTCTTCTGTTGTTCTATTAAAGTAGCAATAACTCAGAAGTAACAGTAATTTTCTTATTCTTTAAACTGCGGGTATTTCTTCCTTAGTAAAATATTTAGCTGTGGGCACTGACCACCACCACTAAAACCTGTTAATTTATCTAGATAAATGGATTACCCATGTTATTATATTCAAGCTACAACTTACCAACTGACCCAATCGCTTCTGTGTGCTTACTCTGTGCTGCTCAGCGTCAGTCACAGGACAGTTTAACTTGCTTACAAAGTGTAACAAAGGAATGTGCCCTTTATTTTTTTTTTAACAAAGGTTTCAGCTGAGAGTTGTCCTTCACAATCAGTGAAGGACTGATTTTGGAGGAGGCTATTACACACTTATCTCAATGCTCAAAATGTTTTTAGACCTCTTGTCACTGCCTTTGGAGTCAGGTGCCAGTGAAGACAATCACATTGCTTGAAGAAACCTCTTTTTAGCAATGGGCTCCCCCTAACAAGACAGGTATTACTTACTCCCCAGGCTCAACTCTGGTCAAGTTTTGGTTGTTTCTAAAAATCCAAAGCTATTTTTCTCTTCTTCTATTCTATATTTTTCTGTTCCAAAGAAGGGGGTGGCAGGCTCTGAGAGCGTTCTCAAAACGATGTTTGTTGCGAAGATGTTTAGAGTGATGGCGTCGCTGAAATAAGCATCAAGCTTGCTGGGGCAGCCCTGAGCCCCAGGGCGGGCAGGTCTGGTTCAGGAGCCAGCCAGGCTTTATGAAGGCACAATCGAAGCGCCCCCTTGAGGGCTGTTTGTCAAAGCACAGCAAGAATGCAGCACTATCTGAATACTCTCAGTGAAATTGAAATCCTTAATGAAACTCACTTTTTCCTTTTTTTAAGAAATAGTATTTTTTTTCCAATTACATGTAGAGACAATTTTTATAAGATTTTGAGTTCCAGATTTCATGAAATTCATTTTTAAAAGTTCCTCCAGGAGCAGCTAGATGGCTCGGTGGATAGCATACCAGCCCTGAAGTAAGGAGGACCTGAGTTCAAATCCAGCCTCAGATACATATCACTCACTCACTGTGTGACTCTGAGCAAATCACTGAACCCCAACTGCCTCACGGTAAAAAAATTTTTTTTTAAAGTTTCTCCACCATCTTCTTGGATGCTGTCTCATCCCCCTGCCCCCCAAATCAAGGCAGTGAACAGAAGAAATAATAGAGTACCACCCTTCACTTTACTGGTGGAGAAGAATGATTATGCATCATGTTCAACACCCCCTCCCCCAGCACAAAACTGCTTCAGAGGCGCAGCCTCAGCCGCAGCCCACGAAGCATCCAGTCACGTAATGTGGCTGAGGCCTTTAAGGCCCTTTCTAAGCCCCAGTCTGCAGCTCCTGTGACACAAGGGACATGTCTATTTCTATGACATAACCCTATTTCTATGGGTTAACTCTTTGTAAAATTAAGCAATAACACGAGCTCAATACTGCAGGAAAACAAAATGCTTCCAAATTGTCTTACTGCTATCGTGGATCCATTCTTGCCAACGCCGCCACTGAGGATGGTGTGGAAATAATTAGAACAGGAAAAAAATGCTCCTGCCACTATTCCAAGAAGGGGGAAAAGCTTCAGTTTTACTTCAATCACAGGGATCTTTGGAAGGGAAAAAGAAATTTTAGGTATTCAGCATACCCACATTAAAGTTTTCTTTAGAGATCACTGCACTTTGGGGCCCTTTATCCTTGTTCAAATTAAAATCAAACATTCAACTTAATGTACTTGACATTTTTCTTGGCTCTTTCATCATTATATGGAGACAATCTGTCCACTACGTTCTGCATGTGCAGATAGTTACACGATAACCGTGTTTGATAACCGTGAATAAGGACAGGTCACGTCAGGGCAGCAGCCCCCAGGTAAGTTAACAGCAAAGGGAAGGCAAACACCACCAGTGGGCTTCACACAAATGATGTGCCGTGGCACATATGGACACACGTGTTTGTGAACGTTCTGAATCACAGCATATCCATCACTAACTGATAACACGGTGATTACCTTCTGGCCGCCAAATGCTGCTTCGTGAAAGCTTCCAAAGGCAGCAAAAGAGTTAAGAAAAAAAAGTTGACAGTGAATTACCACCAGTCCTCTCTTTAATATTTCAAAATAACAGCAATCTCATTTTAAAAATCCGCCAAGTCCCCGGCCACATCAAAGACACGACTGGGGAAGTTAGATGAGTAACTCTTACAAAGTCACCGAGCAACATTATTTCAGTACTAAATGGTTCCTCCCTCACCTGTAGATCCCTCAAGTCCAGAACCGCAGCCTGTTCCTGAGCCCACCCTTTCATTCCCTGTGCCACCGATGACAGACAACGGGCCTTCACACTAGCCATGAGCTCATCCCGTCGGTCTCTAGGACAGGGATCAGCTGCCATCACTAGAACATGAATGCCTGGTCTCTCATGACCTACTACTGCAGATATCTGTGTGCCGGACAACCGCGGGCACAGACAGCTGGTTTCTGCTCCAGAATTGTTTCTAAAACAAATCTTGAACTTGTTCTTATCAGCCTCACACTGTGACCAACTTAGCCAAATAACCAATGTGCAAAGAAGTCACCAGTAGAGGAACCCATACAGAATACAGGGAGGTGAGCGGTCTGAGGATAACAGGAGGAGGGCAAAGAGGATGCCAGACCATTGATGGCTTCCCTTCACTAGTTTTCAAGAAATTGTGTACAAAGAGTACTTAGAAAACATTTTGATTTTTTTTTCCCTAATAGAGCAACTGGCTTTTTACTACTGTAAAACCTTCTGCTGAAATTATTTTTTGGAAAAAATATTTATCCTACATGTTAAATCTATCACTTTAGGCCTAAAAGAATAATATCATTTAAATTCTATCAGGCATAAGGCAGTTTTTTTCCCTCTGTATATTATTAATTTAATACAAAAGGGGAAAGAACAGTAAAGCATAAAAGAAAAAAGGCATTCTAAAAGTAAGACCCATATTAAAGGAGAAATAACACATCTGAGACCCAACACACTTTAACTGTGGGCACTCCCTCCGCTGATGCAGCGTCCACCTCTCCTACAGCTGCCTGTCCCGGATGTATCTTTCCAGAGATCCACCCAAACACATTGTGTCCTCTGGCTTCTCTTCACCTCTTGGGGATATCCAGGATAATAGGGCTGTCCCTCTCTTGTCTTTCAGTTTTTGCTTTCTCCATGACCAGCCCACCATTTCTTCTAATCACGAAAATTTTCATCTGAGACTATAATGCTTTATTTACCATTTGCTCATTGAGAGGGCTGGCAGCTCCATCAATATTTGTAGATGGGCTGATTGCTAAGTGATCCTTAGCACCCTCTCTTTCCTTCTTTGCCTTTCTACCATGGCAACTATGGAGACAGAAGGCGGCTTCACAAGTCAGCAGGGCCAACTTGGGACCCAGCTCCCCACGCTTAGGCAGGCTGGCCCTTGGGCACATCAGTGCGTTCAGTATAACTCAAGCTTTTACGGAGAAGCGCCAATAGATGTCTTCCCACCTAAGCAAAAGAGCTCAACATACAGAAGTGAATACTTACAACATAATCCCACATTGATGCTCCTCCAAATGAGGTTAAAATAAAGATGACAACTATGGCCAGCTGCGCTTCGGTTACGTCCAGTCTAAAGAGAGGCGGCAGGAAGACAACACACAAGACGTTTACAGACTCCGAATGTGCAAATTAGCAACTTAAACACGGGGTTCAGAAATCAAGGCCAGCAGAACCGGCATCACTTACTACGCACCCACTGGGTGCAAAGTCCCCGGGAGCATTTCAGAAAAATTGCAAAGATAATGAGTGAGTAAAGGCTAATTCATTCAATCCGTCTTTATTATATCTACTCCTTACTGTGTGCCCAGTACGGTGCTAAGCACAGGGGTCACACCAAGCCCCTGGTATCATGAAACTTATTGTCTGGTAGGAGGAATGAAACAAATATAACTAAAATGCAAAAGGTTACCTGATCCGTGCATCAAGTTGTTGCAAACGAAAGTGCTGTGTGAGATCTAGGGGGCCTGCCGGCCGTTAGCACTCAGGAGGCTCAGGGGACACTTCCTGGGGCTTTTTATCAGTCTGGTTTTAAATCATGGGTAGGAATTCAACAACTGAAAAGGGACAGGAAACAGCAAGGGCAAAGGTTTGGAGGTGGGAGAACAGAAGGCATGGTAGGGGCTACACAGACTAGTCTGGTTCAGGTGACAAGTGTGAGAAGAGGGCTGGTAAGGTAAGGGGTGGGCCAGGGGTGGGGACCCTGTGGCCTTGAGGCCCTCAAGTGTGGCCTTTGACTCAGTCCAAACTTCACAGAACAAATCCTCTTTAGAGGACCCAGAAGGCTGCATGTGGCCTCGAGGCTACAGAGCAGAAGGGAGAAGAGGTCAGAGAAGGAAGGCAGGAACACACACACAAGTTACATGCAGGGAGGGAGGGAGGGCCCTGCCAGGGCGGGGTCAGCGGCACAAGACGGGAGGGAAGCCGCCAAGGGAGCCTGGCTCGGGCCTCCCAGGTCTGTGTGGAGGAGACGGTGAAGGGGGCAGGTGCCGCCCACCGAGCAGTCAGCAGACCAGGGCCAGAAGCAGGCTAACGAGCAAGTCCGAGCAGCGGAGAGAGACATCCTGTAGACAGCATGGGGGTCTCCGGAGCTCTTTAGAGAGGTCAGGCTTGAAGACAGGGACACGAGGGGAGGAGATGGGGAGAGAAGCAGGCCAAAGATGAGCTCTTGGTGAGCACCCACGTCGGAGGAGCAAATCACAGGTACTTTCATCTTACACCAAAGAGGGCGATCTATCCATCTCATTTCCCAAACGTGAGTGGGCTGAGAGGCTGGGGGGAGCAGCACAGACTGGGGAGGGGTGTGAGGAACTTCCAAGAAAAGTCAAGCTACTTCACGCAAGTTAGATCACGGCACAGTGAGGAAGACGAGGCTCTCTGGTAATACGTGTGTATCCTTAATAATGGGAGGATGGCAAAGTTATTAAAAATCACTTGGAGGACAAACCTGCCCCATCCCACCCAGCCCTGGGTGCCACGGTCAGAAGCCCAAACTTAACCTTACTCATTCTAACTCTTACAAAGCCCAAGAGGCTTGCCTTGTTCTCTTTCTGTGCCAGGCCATTTCCCAACTCCAAGCCTTTGTCCAGGCTGTCCTCTCTCTATGCCTTCAATACGTTCCCTTCCTTGGGGAACTCTACAGAATCCTGAAGGCTCAGTTCAGGTCACAGCTCCCATGGGAAGCCATCTACCCTGATCCCCATGGCTGCTGGTTCACTCCCCTCAGAAACTGCCCTGTATCTGTTTTTTCCTTAATTGTCTGCATGGATGTTCTTTTCCTTCCGTAGCCTCTCTATGTGAATCCCTAGATCCAGACATCTGTCCTCATCTCTCCAAATGCCTCGTGGACATCTCAAACTCAACGTGTCCCAAACAGAATCATGATCTTTACCCCAAACTCTCAGTCACCCAGGCCCGTGACCTGTTTCCTCCTTGACTCCTCACTCACCCCACGAATCCAATCCATGACCGACTCTTGTTTCTACTTTCACGGTGTCTCTGGGCTGCTTCCAGACTTTGGTCCCTTTTTTCCCCAGACTATCCCAGCAGCCTCAACTCGTCCCCCAGCTCAAGTGTCTTTTCCACTCCAGTCCATCCTCCTCTCAGCCGTCTGACCACACCACAGTCCCTGCTCAAGGACTTCCAGAGGCTCCCCATCACCTGCAGAATCACTTCCTAAGTCTTCTCTGAAGCCTTCAAATTCACTATTTCTTGTAGTGTTGGATTATTCCATGATGTTCCCATCTCACAATCTGTCTGGCCATTCGGGAGTCACTGGGCACGCCCTCTGTTTCCAGTTCTTTGCCATCACAAACACATTCTGAACTTTTTGGCATCTTTGAGACCTTTCTGCTTTTGACCTCATCGGGGCACATGCTTACTGGTGGACTCTCCTAGTCAAAGGGCTTGGGCCCTTGATTCACTCATTCCAAATTGCTTTACAGAATGGGCCAGCTTCCAGCACCAACAGTGTATTCACGTGCCCGTCTTTCCATGGATCCTCTGGTACTGATCGTTTCCATCTTTCATCGTCTTTGACAATTTTCTAAATGTGAGGTGAAATGTCAAGAGCTGCTTTGATTTACATTTCTATTATTACTGGTGATTTGGAACAATCTTTCATATGGTTACTAAGAGTTTGCAATTTTTCTTTTGAGAGTGGTTTGCTCATATCCTTTGATCAGTTTATCCACTAGGGAATGAATCTCGGTCTTACATATCTTGGGTATTAGACACTCCCCTGCCCCCAACCGATGGCAGCTGCGCTGATCTGGTTTGTGCCAAACCTCGTCAACTCCATGTAATAAAAATCACGACTCTGTCCTTTGTGATTATTTGGCTAAGAACTCCTTCACTAACCAGCCACAGCTAGCGATCTCATTCTTTAAAAAGCTTAAGGTTTTCCTTTCAAATTCAGGCTGCACATCTTGATACAACAGCTCACTGTGGTACATGGCACAAAGCTGTTGGTTTAAACCTGATTTCTGCCAAGCTTCTGCCCAGTTTTACATCAGTTCTTATCAAAGACCTAGACACGTGCTCTAGGTTACAGCCTCTTTCTCTGATACCTTACAAGGGGGCTATGTGGCAGCAGGCTCACCTAAGTCATCTGCTTAAGAAAGGCCTGCTGAATGAATTAATTACACATCAAAGAGCGGCTGGGCAATGACCACGCAGTGTTCCTCCACCAGCCTTCTCCCTCCCTCCTTAACATTCTCCAGGGGCTTAGAGCTTCTCCCATCCTATACCAGAAGAAGCAGCAGTTCATCAGACAGGGAGGTTACCAGCAGGAAGGGAAGGGAGGAGGCGAGTTCCTGCAGCCCCTCTCAGGGGAGAAGCCTAGCACAGTGCTCGTTTCCCAGGCCAGAAAGAGAAAGGCCCTCAGCACACAGCCACCAAAGTGGGCTCTTCCGTGGAAGTTTCTGTCGGGAGGAATTCCAGCTTAGGTCACAGGTCACACTGGCTGATGCCGCCATCCAAAGAAGAGTCATCCCTTAGATTTCACAGAGCACCAAACTCCTACATAAAAAACTGTTTGTGTGTTGAGCACTGCTTTTAGAATGACCTGAGTTCTTGGGTTCTCCCTCGTTCTGCGGCTCCTAAGCAGTCGCATCAGGCCAGCCCAGGGGATCTGCGCCTTTTCTATGTCCTGGACTCCTCAGGCAGTGTCTGGAGAAGCCTCAGGACCCCTTCCCAGAGTCATGTGTTTAAATGCAGAACATAAAATAACAAAAACAAATTCTGGTGAAGTACAGCCATCGACATATTTAAAAGAACGAGTGTGAACTTGATCTCCCTGGTGAAGAATCCCTGGCTAAAGCATGATCTGGGAAACAGAAAAGGTGGGGTTCACACCCATCAACTCTGCTCCTTTTTAACTCTGGTAAAAGGCGTGGCAGGGACAGTAACGTCATGAATGACGGCACGCTCGGCCTCCCATCAGTGTGAATAACCAAGGCTGGGGAGCTGATCACCAAAGTGCTTAAAGCAAGCATCGAGTTCTGCACTAGGCACCAGGTAACAAAGTCTACTTACTTTCCAAATCTTAGCACTCCCGACACGTAGGTTTGCCAATGAGCACAATAAAACATGAACATCCCAATAAAACAGCAGAAAAACAACCAGTCGGGGTCTGATCCCAAGCGAATGGTGATGCAGGCTCCGAGAGCCACAAACACTGAAAGAGAAAGCAAATGTTCAGTGAGGAAGCAGCTGGAGACCGCTGGGGTTTTAAAATCCATACTGGACTCCACCTAGGGGCACGGAGGTCACCAGTGAGCCGAGGCCGGCCAGGCAGCCATCGGGGTCACTGAACCATCACACAAGTCGTCAGGCCAGGGCAGAGGGGGCTCTCGTTTATCCCTCTTGCACGTGCCAAGTGGACAAAGAGCCACACCATGCAATACAAAGTACCGAATGTCAGGAGCTCAGACACCAGAGGGATGTTTAAGAGCTGACTAAATTAGAAGCTGAAATGACCACCCTCCCCACCCAAGCCAGTCTGGATGTTCTGCTGCATCTCTAAGGCTCTTTCGACCCTCACTCACACACACGCCCTTGTCACCTCTTGCCTCGAAACCAGCGCTGGACTTCAGGCTGGACTCCCTCCCTACACCACCCATTCCAGTGCATTCCTATCAGCCAGCTGACCATCACTTCTTCCTCACCTTCCCGTCTCCTACCTCAGTGCCTTTGCACGGGTGGCCTCACAGGTATTGTCAGAGAAGCCTGGGCCAAACTGGTGAGGGTATAAGGGGAGGCAGGACCCAATCAGACAGAAAGGTCAGGGGGGCTGGGTTTTGTAGGGCTTTAAAAGCTAAACAGAGGGGTTCTCGTTTTATCCTAGAAACAACAGGAAGCCACTGGAATCTGATCCACAATTCTCTAGTATTTTATTCCTTAGTCTCCGCTGAGTTTGAAGCTTTTCTTCAAACAACCCTTTATTGATTACATTTATCATGTTGTGGCTGGTAAAGGCTAAATTTACCATTTCTGTACTTGTAAGGTGTTTTTTTTTTCCCTTATACCCTGCCACCCAAGAGGGGGAGGAGCAAAGCTGAGAAGAAACAGCCATAGTCTTTGCCCTTGCAGCTGCACTACTGACTTTCAGGATTTCAGCACCACGCCTCATCTTCAGCCTTGCATGGGGACGCCCTTCATCCCCTGCTGCCTTCTCACCCAAGATTGGCCCTCTCTTCCCATTGCGGAATTCTTCCTGGGGCCTCCACCAACCTGCATTCTCCTCTTGGCTGTGTCTCAATTTTTCCAGACTTCCATACCCTGCCTGCAGGCTGGTACCTTCACCTCTCCCCCTCCTGCCTTCCAGCTCCTTTTTGGGGGTTGTCTTCCCCTATTAGGGCAAATTAGATGGAAAGTTCCTTGAGGGGTGAAGCCAAGAAGATGGAGTGAAATCGGCAATTTTGAAAATCTTTCCCAATCCTCCCCATAAATTATGAAAAAGGAGGCTTCTTAAGGCCAGGACCATTCATCTTTGGCTTTTCTTTGTGTCCCCAGCAACTCATACGCTGCCTGACAAACAGAAAGGGCTTCAAAAATGCTGATCGAAGGGTAGCTAGATGGTGTACTGAATGGGGCACCAGCCCTGGATTCAGGAAGGCCTGAGTTTGAATCTGGCCTCAGACACTTGACACTTACTAGCTGTGTCACCTTGGGCAAGGTACTTCACCCCATTGCCTCACAAAAAAAAAAATAATAAAATGCTGATCACGTTGCCTTTTAATTCCCCTTTAGTCGTTGTTAAAGGTCTATTAAACCCAACTTTTCTAAAATTCTATTTGGTTTCTTAACTTTTTATTTATCTTTTTTGTTGGACTTGTCTAGGTCTGATAGGCAGATATTATGGTCTCAGTCCCTCCCCTTCTCTCCCCGCCCCCAACACCTTTCCAGAGCCCCTAAAGGTTTTTAGTATAAATTAAGAGAAGTCTTATTGCAGGGGTGTGGGAGGAATATGAAATCAAGTGGAGGAAAAGACAATCAAAGACACATGATCACCATTTAGCTCCTCTGAAGTGCTCAAATGTATTTACCTTTCTAGGGTTCGTTTCACGTTTGTCTTTCTTAGATTCTATCTTTTTATTAAGCTGGCTTCACAGTTCTCTATTCTGTTAAAAACCTACATTTCCTTGTGCAGGATTGCACTTAGCCTTTTCCTTTGGCCTTTTTTGCCCGTCATATTGCCATTTTCTTTTCCTGTACTGGAGTTATTACATCATTGTCTCATGTGATCCTGACTGAGGCTCCCCAGGACTTGAATGCTTTCCTTATGGATGTTTCTGGTGTTGTTTTTTTTTTTGCCTCTGACCTGGAAGGTTTGCATTTTGACTATAATATTCCTGAGTAATTTCAATTTTTTTTTTCAGGAGGTAGCCATGGATTCTTTCCATTTTCATTCCATTTTCTCCCTAGATTTAATCTTTGTGGACCATTTTCTTTTGTGATTTGTTGAAACATGGTGTGCAGATTTTTTTTGTCTGGTCCTGTTTTAGGAGGAGATTGATTCTATCTTCCCACGCTGCATTCCAGGCCAATTATTTTTTGACAGTAATGACTTGCTTCACGTGTTCCTCTCATTTTTTCAGTCTCTAACTCTGTTGCATTATTTTGTTGCTTCACTGAATCATCTGAGTTATATTAGCTCCATTTTATTTTTCAGGTTCCCTACGACTTGGCTAAGAGTTTCTCTTTCTGTTCCAAGCAGTCTCTTCTCCTCAGGGGCTCCCATTCCATTTCTTGTGGCCCCTCACAGCTGCGGAAGACTGACCACTCTTTTCTTTGAGGCTCTACCTACACTCACTGTGAAGAATTACAAGCTCTTTTCCGAACCTGTCTTGACTCAAAGGAGTTCTTCACAGTATCGGGAATTTTCTTCTGTTTCCCAATGTCTTTAGTCTCAATTCCTGAACTGGGACTTTGGTGCTGGGACCTCTGTCCCCTCCTGTAATCCAAGGTAGCCAGGCCTTGGTCTTGTCTCCGCAGCAGACTGGATGCTGCCGCCACGGTTGCAGAGAGAATGACTGACTCCCTGTGTTCTTCTGCAACTGGGCCACGGGAGAAGGAGCTGGCCGCAGAGCCGGGCTCAGGGCTCGTTCTCTGCCCCAATCCCTTGCCTGTGAATTGCTTTATCCCTGTTGTATCACCAATAGGCCTCAGGAGAAAACCAGGAGTTGTGCTGGCTTAAGGCCTCCAGGAGGGCCCTACCTCTGCATCTTTGGACGGGCACAGAGAAGGAGCCAACTTTTTCCTCGTTACGGCCCTAATGGGCCTCGACCAGATACTGAAATGGGGCTGTCGTCAAGCCTCTTGAGTGTACAGAGCCCACTGCCTTGGCCTCATCTTGTTCTCTCCGACTCCCTCCTGGGAGTCCGTTTCATCTGCTTCATCAGCTTGGATTTGCTGCTGGGTCCTGAGATCTTGCGGGCTTCAGGTCCCCTACCATCAGGCCTCCAGGCTTCCAGTTTTCTGGTGCTGTCCTGAAGGAGATGGAGGTGTGTTATGTGTTCCGGCTTCCTCTGGGGCTCTCTTTTACCTTTGCTGGGATGTTTCTCAGGGCAGCTGGGCACAGCTGGACTTTTCACTTTACCAGAAGTTCACTGAATTATTTGGAACGGATAATAGGTGTGTCTTCTTCACTTTAGGAAAATTCAGCATTTTAAAAATCTTTCTGAATTTCCTAAACTGGTCATTTAGCCAGTAATCACTGACATTACCAACTGACCTCTTTTACAAATGGATTCACTACAAAACTGAAAACAATGAAAGCTCACTTGGCTTATGCGTAAGTGGTTTTAAAGACAGACCATTCACTTAGGAGCCACTGTCAATCAAAGACTGACCATCACGTGGCATGCCTGAAATTATGATAAGTGCAAGAGAAAGAGAAAAGGGATTTTATTTCTAGAAATATGATATAATTACATAAACTTTGTATTTTTTTAGCTCCTTAACTATTCTGTGTATAGTACATGCTTAATATTAATTGAACTTGGAAATACACCCATGGCATAAAATGCAGGTAACTTGTGGCATAGTACATACAAGGCCAGGCCCTGGAGTCAGTCAGGAGGACCACGGTCCAGGGAGAATCTCCAACGTATTCTGTGACCTTGGACAATCTATGAAACCTCTCAGTGTCCCCAGGAAACTTGGTAAGACTGTCACTTGCACATCAGCATTTGTAGGGGAAATTTTCTCAGCCAGAGCTCCTAATTGCTCCAGATCAAAACAAAACACCTCAACTCCAAACAGGTAGCACACAGTACACTGTTTCTTATGTATACTGTGCTAACACTGCTCCAAAAATTTAGAGCTCTTTCCAAAAAAAAAAAAAAAAGAAAAGAAAACAGCAAGATTTAAGCCACTTAACCTCTGTAGCAAACCCCAAGCTCTTAATGCTATAAAAACGGAATTGAGAAGTCTACTGATTTACCTGTGGAAATAGAATCACAACCATGGTCAAAAAGTTCTCCTAACGGAGAACAGCTATTTGTTCTTCTGGCTTGCTTCCCATCAATGGCATCCAGTGATTGGTAGATGAAGAGGCCCAGGCCACATATTAGGAACATCCATAATGGTGCCTAAATACAAAGAGATTATAAAGCCCATTAATTTCAACTAATTAGTTTCTGGCTGAAAGCAATTCAAGCTCTACGTAGTCAATCCACACCTTTTCCTTTGGGTTGTGTTTTCCTACTGCAGTTCTATGCGACAATTAATTTGAAATCATTCAATACATTTTTAGGCAGGCCAAGTAATCAGAGCTTTAATCATAAATCTCTACTCTTTCCTAGAGGACGCCTCTGACACTGTCTCGCCATTCTTTTCTATGTTGAGGTTCACTAGTTGATTGTGTGCTCAGTAAGAAAAATTTGTGACCAGCTGGTATCCTCTAAGCATTAACTGTGTTAGGCTTTCTTTGCTTAAAAACAACCTAAACTTAATTTAAAACAACTTGAAATTTCCTCTGTTCCCAATAATCCTTTCACAGATAACTGTCCATCAGGGTCCGGAAGGCCCCACAGCACATGGAAACATGAAGAAGATCCTCCACTGCCCCTTGTTATCAGCTTATCTTAAATGAATGAGGAAATGCTGACATCTCATGCTCTCATTGCCCTCAGCCAATTTCTGAGTTGAAGGTTCCCAAAGTATAAAGTTGGAAGAGCAGGTGCCTGAACACCCTGCCTCCACTCCCTGTCCCCAATGGGACGTCATCTCCAACACGGAGATGGGGCTCTCTACTTACACCGAAGGGGAGCTTCCCGTCTGGAGGGAGCTGTCCGGATGCAGACTGGGAGGACATTCAGTACCTCTCTCTCATCTGCAGCCAGCTCTAAGTACCCTCTAGGCCTGCAGTGCTTCTTAAAACTGTGGGCACTGAAGGGGTCTTGAGGTGAAAAAGTCTAAGAAGCCCTGCTCTAGGGAATCCTTTTGAGGCAGGTGAGCTTGTGCATGGCCTTTCTTCCTTTCCGCTCTCTGGTGTGGCCCCTGGGTTACTACACAAACACTCACTTGGAGAGGCACATGCTCCCAAATGTAGGAATTGAAATAAGCAGGAGAAACTAATCAAGTCCCTTCGTTTTAAAACTCACACAAAGTTTTATGGAACTTCCTTAAGTGACTCAGACTCACACAAAGCCCCCGGTGCTCATACAGAACACATAAACTGTATCCATGCGATTACTTTTCAAAGAAAACAATTTAAGACTCAAACTACACTGCACAAAATCACCCACATCCACGGCCTCTGGCAAGGCATGCCCTGAAGAACGTGGGACATTCAGGCACGCCGATGCAGGTACACTGTCCACTACAGTGATAACAGCTGGCTTAAAGGTGGTCTACTAAAAGCCAGTAGGGGGTTCTTCTGGAAGTGCCTCGGACCACTTCATGAACTGGTCCATCTGAAGTCAGATGAGTCAAACTATCAGAAATTTCCCACAATGAGACATCAAAAAACAATATAACAAAATCAAAAGAATGAAAAATAGACGAAAATGTAAAATATCTCACTGGAAAAAAATTGATGTGGAAAACAGATTGAGGAGAGATAATTTAAGAACTATTGAAAGGCATGATTCAAAAAACAGCCTCGACATCACCTTTCAAGAAATTATCAAGGAAAACTGCCCTAGTATCCTAGGGCCAGAGGGCAAAATAAAAATGGAAAGAATCCACCCAACTCCTAAAAGAGATCCCAAAATGAAAACTTCCAGGAACATTATAGCCAAATTCCAGAGCTCCCAGGTCAAGAAGAAAATACTGCTAGGGGCCAGAAAGAAGCAATTCAAATATCATGAAGCCACAGTTGGGATAACACACAAGATTTGGCAGCTTCTACATTAAAGAACCAGAGGGCTTGGAATGATAATCCAGAGAGCAAAGGAGCTAGGATTACAACCAAGAATCACCTGCCCCGAGTACAAGCCTTCAGGGGACAAAATGGATATTCAATGAAATAGAGGGCTTTCAATCATTCCTGATGAATAAAAAATTTGACTGTCAAATACAAGACTCAAGAGAAGCATAAAAAGGAAAAAAACAAATCATAAGGGATTCAATAAGGTTAAACTATTTACATTCCTACAGAAGAAAAATGATATTTGTAACTCCTAAGAACGGTACAATTATTAAGGCAGTTAGAAGGAATATACACGGGAGGCATGGGTGTGAGTTGAATATGATGGGATGATATCTAAAAAAAATAAAATTGAGGGGCGAGAAAGAGGAATGGACTGGTAGAAAGGGAAAGGGAGAAGTAGAATGGAAGAAATTATCTCACATAAAAGAGGCACGAGAGCTTTTACAGTAGGGGGGAAGATGGTGGAGGTAGGAGGGGGAGCACTCCAACCTTACTCTCATCAGAACTGGCTCAAAGAGGGAATAACATACACGCTTAGTTGGGTATAAAAATCTATTGTACCTTACAAGAAAGTAAGAGGAAAAGGGGATAAAAGAAGGGATGGAGCTGATGAAAGGGAGGGCAGATTGGAGGAAGCAATAGTCAGAAGCAAAACACTTTGGAAGATGGACAAGGTGGAAAGAGAAGGGAAAGATAAATGGTGGAGGTGGGGTGGTAGTAGAAGGGAACAGGATGGAGGAAAATATACAGTAATCCTAACTGTGAAAAAAAAATTTACAGCAAGTTTTTTCTGATAAAGCCCTCACTTCTCAAATATATAGAGAACTGAGTCAAACTAAGGAGGTGAGGGAAATGAAAGCCATTCCCCAAACTGATAAAAGGCCAAAGGATATAACAGACAGTTTTTACATATAATTGGGAAATATAAAATATTAAATATTTTAAAAAGGTCCAACAACCAGAGTTTTCTCATAGTACTATAAAAATAACATTTAAAATGATTAATCTATGGTATTTACAAGACCTTGAAGTAACTCCCAAAGTTTCAAAGATTATGTTAAATGCATATAAAATTTTCATTTTAACTCCTGGAAAAATAATAATCTAGATACAGCATACATGATCATTCTCAAAAGCCAGATTAATCAGAAAAAAAGTTTTCCAGTTGAATATTCTGGTTAATTAGGAGTTCACTAAGAGAGAAACTATGATCTAACTTCCATATGGTAAACAAGAATTTCATTTTAAAATGATAGGATAGCGTAAATTAATGAATTCATAACTTCATTTGGGTTTATAAAAATTTACTGATACACAATAAAGAATAATTCTCCTTAATGTTTTTGTTTTTAGTAGGCAACATAAAAACAAATCTCTTGAGAGCAGAAGAAATCTGAAAATCCAAGACCATTTTGGGATGCCTTCTAAACACCAATATTCAATTTAGATCGATGCATTTTACAAGCCTGGCTGACAACCGTTAAAAAAATCAAATTTAGAGAAGTTCTGAAAACTGAGAAAGATTAACACAGGATATGGAGCTAGACTGAGAAATGCCCATGACTATGACAAAATGGGAAGACTTGAGAATTTTGTGTTTTAAAGCAATGTCTTTTGCAGTACGTATAAAAGTCCTGTTTACCTTTCTTGTAATTCATAACACTGTCACCAAATCTGTCAGACTTTGAGAATATACTCACTGCTCTATTTTGGACAACAAACAGAACAAATTCATACTTGGGTAAAATCCATGGTCTTAAAAGTGCTGGATCATTTGAGACAGACCTGTGATCACAGGGCGAGACTGCAATTACACCCTCAGAAGGGCTCGTAGGCTTTTAAAAAACGGATGACCTCCGTGCAGTGCCCTGCACCTCTCCCTGTCTTGGGGCTCCACTCAGTCCTTATCCTTCACAGCAGCTGTCTGCAGGACCCAACTGCTGCTGGAAACACAAAGCACGTCAGTGAAAGGCGTCTCACACCAGGTGCCCTGCCTGCCCGCTCAGTGAGCGCCCACAGCACATCACACCAGCTGCTAAGGCCGCCCACTCGGGACCAGCTCAAAAATGAGGCGCAGAGGGTCATCGAAACTGGCTCAAGGCCTCCTGCCAAGGCCTAAGGGAAAGTCTGTGATCATTCTAATTCCTGGTAGTCATGTGTCTAAATTAAAAAACAAAACAAACCCCACACCATAACTGCTACTAGTTGACAGAAAGATCAAAGAGTTAGTGGATCACTGGTACCAAAATCAATCCTTATTCCTTGATTCCATTCGATGACACCAGTGAAGTGACACCATTCAGAGGGGTCTAAGAGAAGCCTATCTTGACTCCTCCCTCTTACCTAATGACCCTGGCCTTCTCGTGGCCCCTGCATGGCTGTCCCCATGACTGGAAGGCTCTCCCTCCTCACCTGCACCTCCCAGCATCCTACAGGACTCAACTCTCCTTCTACAAGAAGCCATGGCTGGTGCGTCACCTCTGCTTCCCCCTCCCTGCTCCCTGGGGCTTTTCCTCCAGGATTATCCTCCATTTATACCCTATATATCTTGCATGTGCAATTTTTTGCATGTTGTCTAACCCAATAGAATGTGAGCTCCTTGAGGGCAGGGCCTTTTTTTTTTTTTGGCCTTTCCTTATATGCCCATCAATTAGCACAGGGCCTGGCACATAGTACGTACTTAAGAAATACTTGTTGACTGACCCCTCACCTGAAACCACTTTCTCTCCATCACGTCTAAGAAATAAATGAGGAGAGCTATCTCCTTAGGGCACTACAGAAACCTCGTATGGAGTTGTCTGTGGGGAGGGGAAGAGAAGAGCTAGGGTTGGAGTCAGAATGCCGGTTCTGGCGATCCGAGACAAGTCGTAGAGAGAACATCTGTCTTCAGGAATTCAAGAATGATGTGAGGTCCCACAAATGAATGTGCTGAATGTAACAATCAAAACACCATGGGGCTTCTGTATGGAACCAGGAAAAAATCACCCTGAAATTTATATGGAAAAACAAGTGGGCAAGAACGTCCAACGTCCCCTGGAAACGAAAAGCCAACGTCGGAAGCTTTGTGCTCCTAGACTATAAAGAGATCATGAAGGGGCTATCGGCAAAACAGATCAATAAATCATTAGGATTGGTTACATCCACCTGATACCCGGCCAAACAAATAAAAATGAGGCCTGACAAACCCCTCAGAAACAAAAACTGGGGAAAGATTCC